CTTGATGCACTTGGAGGTGAGTTCCGGTCTCTCTCCAAGACTTACCTTCAGCATGCCCACGTTCAATCTAGCGCAAAGCGCGGTCAAGACTTCCGTCTCCCGCTCACGGACGTCGCGGACGCCGCCGATGACGCACAACGCCTTTGTTCCGGCCCCCATGGCTCGGGTCTCGAAGCCGCCCAGCGCCATATGCCCAGCTTCGCGGAAGTCTAAGACCACCTGCACATCAACCAAGACCCTCGCCAGCAGCCCATGCAAGGCCTCCTCCAAACCAACCCGCTCGTTGAGAAAGCGCGCGCCCACGATCCGGTTGTCGGCCACCACTGCCCGGCTCAACTCTCGGTACATTGCTTCGGTGCCGTTCCACTCTTGAAGAAGTTGAGGCTCCAACATGATGCATGTCCGATCTTCAAAGAAGATGTAGCAGTCGCTGTTGTGAGTCAATGCTGCATTCGCAATACGCGAGGCAGCATCTTCACGCCTCCACTCACCTGCACTAGGTCTCCCAGGAAAGAAAACCAGCCAGCACAAGTCCATGCCACATAGCACGACAGCGCTATGGCACTGCAAGTGGTCGATTGGAAGCAACAATTGATGTGACCCGAAGGCCTGCAATATGAATGTCAAAGCTTCACAGTGTTTTGCAAGATGCTGAAGTCGTGAGGATAGACGCGCGGCAAACATGTGAATTACATGCTCTCTCTTTCTCTCTCTCTCTCTCTCTCTCTCTCTCACGGTGTTACACACCTCAAGACTCATGCTTTGCTTTCTGCGGTGGCTTTCTATTTTCCTGACTTATGCTTTCAGGCTTGATTCCGCGTAGCATCGTGCTGCGCTTTGTCCAAAGCAGGCAGCAGTCTGCCACATGCAAGAAATACACCTACGGCCCTTCTCAGACCAGGATGACAATGCTGAGGCAAAGGAACAGTGTGTCCCATGTCAAACTAGCACACTTCCGCCACCCTTGTTGCTTGTAGCCTCGGTCTCTGAAGATGCCGCCTGCGCCGACAATCTGATGCTCCACAGCAGGAGCAAGGCACCTGCCTTCTGATGATTCAGGTTGTACTTCTTGATGAATTCAGTCCTGCCAGGGTTTCATGGCTCAGGAAAGCGGAGCGGCAAGGATGGTCCTCTGTTCTGTCTTCTTCTTCAGTTGTTCTTGCAGTTGGTTGACAGCCTCACAAAATCTGCGCGACACTCTGTTGGAACATATCACAGTCACAAAAGCAATCGCCTGTTGGATCTTCTCCAAGTTTCCCTCCACTGCTGGTCTCACCTCACAAATGCTGCGCCAATGCCCTAAGGCCCTACATTGCAGTCCCAAGACATCTGATAGCTCGAAAGGTGGATGTTGCCCAAGTTGAGAGACAAGTGGGTATGGGTCAAAATTGAACCAGCAGGGGACCGCAGGTTTTTTAGTCCTTGGTTCCATTTACCAGGGCAACCCATGTTGGGTACATACTGTGGATGGACAAAGTCCTGCACTACCTAAGAAACCCTGGAATGGTGATTCCCCTGTAAATACCAACAAACGATATGGTTTCAACCATGGTTTCAAAGTGGTGCAGGAGTTCGTCCATCCACAGTATTTTTGACCCACAGCCAAGTTTGATGTGAACTTGTGGCCCCAATGGCCCTGCTACACTCGCAGCGCTCCCAAAGCTGGGCCGCGAGACCTCCGCCGCAGTTCTTTCCACAAGGACACCGCCCACCTCGCAGCTTGGCTGGTACTGGGACCCCAGCAAAATGTTATATGCCTGGTTGGTGCAAAACAAAGAAACCCCAGAAAAAGCAAAACAACCAAAAAAAAAAAAAAAAAAAAACTAATTCTGGGGAAGACGGCCGATGTCCCATGCCGACTGGGCACTGAGGTGCGCACCATACGAAAGCACCGCCTTGAGGCGTCAACTTTATCAAATGCCTGCCGGCGAGCCGGCTCGCACTCAAGCAGTTCACAGACGTCTGGTGCCCAAAGATGTCCTGTTGTTTGTCAGGCTGTTTCTTCTCGACACTGCATACGTTCGCCTCGACGCCGGTTCTCTTCTTTAAGTTGTCCTTTTTGCCGGTGTGTGCCAGCATTTCGGGAACGCCGACTGGCACAAATGTTGCTCCCTGCTGGCGACTGAGAGCACCCTAGTCTCATGTAGAACAATGTGCAAAGAATCGCCTGCTAATGAACGCAATATACAGAGCACTCAGAAAATGTGTATCAACAGAAATGGGTGTGGGTCAAAATTAAACCACTGGGGGACCGCAGGTTTTGGTCCATGTTTCCATTTACCAGGATTCCATTTTGGGTACATATTTTTGACCCACAGCCGTGTGGATCAACAGACATGAAAACCTGGGTCTGGCTGTTGGGCCATTTTTCTTCATGCAAAATCACGAGACTAGCCGTGGTGAGCAATGCCGCCTTGAGGACGAGCGAATGTTCATTGAGCTCTTGCTCCAGCTCTGCTATCTGCGCCAAGCACAAGCCGTGAACGCGTTAGAGTCTTCGCCACGAACATGAAATCATGGGGGCTGCGGAGGGAGGGGCGAGTCAGCCCTAAACAAGGACTCCAGCGTCACACACACACACGCAAACTCGAAAGATTGGCTCAGCCTTGTTGATCATCACCGAGCATTCTTTCTCTATCTGCTGGTAAGTGGCCTGCACCTGCGTCACGCAGGTTCTGCATAAGAAAGGAAGCCTTTGCCCTTTTTCCCTTCCGGTCTTTCTTCCTTCCTTTCTTCCTTCCTTCCTTCCTTCCTTCCTTCCTTCCTTCCTTCCTTCCTTCCTTCCTTCCTTCCTTCCTTCCTTCCTTCCTGCCTTCCGTTCTTTATGTGTTTGTTTCTGCCTCTCATTATTTATGTGTGTGTGCTTCTTTATTTATTTCTATCTTGGTTTATTTTGTTCATTCATTCTTTATTTCTTTCTTTCTTTCTTTCTTTCTTTCTTTCTTTCTTTCTTTCTTTCTTTCTTTCTTTCTTTCTTTCTTTCTTTCTTTCTTTCTTTCTTCTTTGCTGTCCGCTCTCTCTCTCTCTCTCTCTCTTCAGTTGCATGCAGTCTGGCGGTCGGCCATCCCTTTGGCCGCCTGCTGGGGGGACAGCTCCTCCTTTGAGCCTTCTGCAGCCATATCTAGACTGAAACCTGTGGCCACACGCCGCGTTGCCTCATCTGGCCAAACTTTGTGTGTCCTGTTGATATACCAGAGCGTAGTCCAACTTGAACGAAATGTGTGTACATGCAAACAAGATCTGTATCAAAACAGCTGCTGATGCTTGAGCCGCATGCAAGTGGCATCGGACGAGTTGGGGCTCCAAGATGTTCTTAAGAGCAGCAAAACCAAAGGCAGGACATGCAACACGGAAATCCTGCAGTCGCACCATACCGCTACTAAGATATGGGGGTTGATCACAAGGTGCGTGACATGGGATAACCATTCGGAAAAACCACTAAACACTGGATATGGTTCATTAAATGGGAAAAGCTGCCAATGGTCATTTTGATCAACCCTCGATTACCGTGTACGTTCATGAATACTTTGCAACAATTGTGTATTAATTCTGCACAGCTTCTCCTCCAAGCAAATACCGTTACGGGTACTGCCTGTTTTCAACCAGCACCTCCGACATCTCTGGATCCAAAAGCCTCCATGAATGTTGGCACTGCTTGGAAGTATCGTAGGAACGGCAATCGCAATCAGAAAACAGTATGCAAAACCTTTCAAAAAATATACCTGTATGTTGTCCGTGTATCAAATGTGGCTACGTACATCGAAGCCAAAGTGGCCGTGAGCTTCGGCAAAGCTCAAAGAGCGAAAAGCAAAGAAGTCTCTCACGCAAGACTTTGGTCCGCAGGTCCAACCAAGAATACACAAACAAGATCTAGATTGAATTCGCTGCTTTGTGATAAGCACAAAGTCATATCATACCGCTGCTTTGGCATACTCCGAGGACTCCGGTGACTGTGATCCTGTCTGAAGCTTCCGCATCACGCCATGCTTTTCTTGTCTGTGTGCAAAGCAGATTAAATTCGCGGAGCACTGTTCAATGTTCTGTTTGAACAACGAGACCTCCTACCTGGCTACAGGAGTATTTGCTACTGCAAGGACGAGCCTGCCAAATGCAACACGATCGCCCGTTGATTCTTCGGCAAGTTTGCAATTGGCTCTCAAGCTCACACTGATGCACAAATCTTTGCCGTGCAGCAGCGCCATTCTGGCTGGCATATCATTCTGCAAGTCAGCACAGTGTTGACTGCTGCAATTCCATTCCAAGTCGGCAGCGCCGGGAGTCAAGCATGCAACGACTTATGGTACGGAAGATAACAGTGTGCGTGTGGTATCCCGCTCTTCATGGCAGGAGACAAGGTCATCGGGCGCCTGTTGAAACGGGTGATTGTCGCGGCAAGCTTTGCTTCATACTCAGCACCGGCATGCCAATTTCTCTCCACGCCTGCAGCATGCGCTGTCATGCTGAGTGTCGCCTTCGGGACTCGCTGAATGAGAGAAGTGTCCCTGCAAGTGCTCTGAGTGACTGCCTCACTGCACTGGACGAAGAGCTGGAACTGCTCTTGGCATCAGTCGGACATGAGAGGGATGCTCTTTAGAAAGCATCTATCCTACCCTAGACTGTCCAATGTGTTCGAAGGAAGTGGAGTTTTGGCCAACAAAGGATCCCAAGTTGAGCCCAGCAAAGCATATCAATGAACAGTTATACCCAAGCCACAAAGTCTAGTTTGCTTCATCCGCAGCTCGTGACATGCACAACAGCGCTGAGGCAGCAGCAGAAGAAGAGGGTCGGTGATCTGGGATTGGCACAAGCTTCGGTGTCTGCAGCTCGCAGGTCCGCATCTTTCCTGGCTCCTTCTGGCTTGGGGTAACGCAGAGCTGCTTCTTCTCAACCTGCGCAAAAGGCAACCAGGCAACCTGGAACTCGTCACGTCTGACATCACACTTCGAGAAGTTCTGCGCCTGGGGGGCTGTCATGTCAATAAGCGTCTTCAGGAGAGTCCGCACTGACTGATTTGGGACCTAGGCGCCCGCTTGGCCAAGATGCTGGAAGACATGCAACTGTGCAGTTTAGAGTACCTGTTTCAATTCCAACTGAATTTCTGAATGGTGCAAGATCATAAAGCAAATAGACAAAGAGTTTAGAGACTGGCCACACTTGGGAGTAGCTGGCAATCAACAAAAGCCTGCCTCTTACGTGGAAGCGTCTGCAAAACACCAAGCGCCTCCGCGTGGCAACTACTGTACGCTGTGCTGAACATACCCGAGAATGCCCACGCGCTTCCAGGAAAATGTGGTATCTAGTCCTTTCCGAGATGAGGCGCACCTCAATTGTGTTCTTATCCGTTGCCACTCCGCATGATTGCATGGGCCTTGAATCATGTCTGGGTGTTCTCTGCGTCGTGTTATGTTTGCCACAATGTGTTCTTGGAGCAGAGAGGGCAAAGAGAAGCGTCGGCGACAGTGCTCAGTATATCTCGACCGCAAATCAAGCCCACAGTCTCGGCAACCCGCATCATCAGCATGGTCGTTGCAGGCTCTGCATAGCTTTCGGTTTCGTGGCCATCGAAAAAGAACTGTTCCAAGCCACACCTCCCCATTCTGAAGAGCTAACCCAATTATCCCCCAAAATGGATTCAAAAACGGGGACGAAAGAATGGGGACTCAACCCTTAGAACTGCGTGTGGCATCCTTGCGTCGCGTTCAAGGGTCCGCTGCCTCAGTCCAAAGGTTCAGGCGCACTTCGTTTGGCCAGCGAGCAAGGACGTTCAGCCGCGCGGCCAGACCCATGACCGACCCATGCAACGGCACGTTGAAGAGAAGACCCCGAGCCGTCGCGGCACCCAGTACGGGGAAGGAAAACCGATTGCCTTGGGTACAACGAGTACATGTCTGGTCACACTATGAACTCAATCATGATTGACGTCCGTGAAGTTTGGATGTACATGATGGAAACAGCTCGCCACCGCCTAGTCCGGCATGCAAGACCCATGTGCCCAACCCAAGCCAGAAATTAATAGCAATTGGCCACTTGCCAGCAATTCAGAACAATTACCCACTTGCCAGCAAAAGTCTGCTGAAGCACCCACGCCTCCGTTTCCCCGCTAAATCCAGAGCCCTGCTGACCGCCCCCAACAGGTGACTAGCCTTTCTAAACCGGCACATGACTCCCGCGTGGGGACCATGGCGGCAGTGCAGGGTCGTAATCTGGTGACTTTGACGCATCAAAATGATTCAGCGCTCGTCGCCAGCATCCTACACCCACGACGCTTGCTACTGCGCTTGGTTGCTACGCTTTGCATCAGGAATCCCAGAAAGGCATTCTAGTGCTCAGAGGGGGAGGAGTCCCCAAGGTGTTGTTCGCATTCAGCATATTGACACCTCCCTGCAACCTGCTTGAACCACGAACTGTGGGAGGCTTGGTCTCCTAAGCAGCAGAGGCTTGGCGGACGCGATCAAAGTGCTTCCTTGGTCACCAAGCAACCACGCTGGGTGATTGAATGGACTGTTCAAAGACGCAAGCTAATCAAGTGAGCATCACCAGCTGCGAAGCTCCAAGGAACACGGCACAGGAGACTTGGTGCTCAAAGACCGTGCTCCAAGGTTGCGTTGCAATCGCCATGAAAGCTCCGATGTACTGAAGGGAAGGCAACATGCGACCGTGGCACATCTATTAGTTATCTCAATGAGATGCCACTCATGCTGGAGAACTCAGGAAAAACAGCTTGAGACTAAAGTGCATGTCCTGCGCGTTCAACGACTACGTATATAAAGATACACCTTATACATATGTTGACTGCAGCTTGGTAATTGCAACAAGGCTGTCGAAAGTGCAAGCGCAGGCGAGGAAGCGCGGAAAGCACTGCCCCGAGACTATCACTTGGCCACGCGCGCTGGTTGCACTCACTGCCTGTTTCTTGTCTGCATAGGGATCATTGGGGATCATACTGTGGGACGAAATCCTGAAACCATTGTTTGATGGGTATTTACGGGGGAATCATCATTCCAGGGTTTCTTAGGTGGTGCAAGATGCATTTCACCCATCCACAGTAGGGTAGACCAAAGCATAGAAGCCAAGTGAGCCAATCCTTCGATCTATGATCGATACAAACGAAGGCCTGAACGCCATGCTGAGCTCTCAGCAAGCTCTGCGTGGGGAAGCTTTTGACCAGTCACGGGGCTCTTGCGCGACCTCTCATAGACTCAGAGTGACTCAGAGTGTACAAATTGCATCAAACTACCTCTCTCGCTCGCTCGCTCGCTCTCTCACTCACTCACTCACTCTCTCCTCTCTCTGTCTCCCTCTCTCTCTGCCTTGAACCCTATCATAAGTGCCGCACGTTTCGAACCATCTTGCTATAGCAGATCTTTCATAAGTGTAGCCATCCGCACTAACCTTCACAGCTGCTTCGCGCGTTTGTAGGTTGAATGACAATCACGGTCCAAGGCAAGCACAACCGGATCCGACATCACATCATGCGTGATTGGACCTTACAGCTGATTGCACAAGGCCTACAAGTGCGGGTGAGCATTGCACACGACATCTCATTATATCATGAAAGTGACAATAGCTGTAAACGGTGCTTTCCAGATCTATGCTCCCACGACCCAGGCCAAACAATTTGCCTTTGGCCCAAATGTGAGGCATCTGGCTTCTGGTTGCAGCTGCCATGTGGGCGCGCGGCAAGTGAAGATTGCAAAGGCTGCCTCCCCCATCGGCCAAACCTCTTGCAGTCGCTCCTCGCGGTGACAACTGCCCTTACCTGGGCCACTGGGCGTGGACTTGCGCGGAAGCTGGTTGCTATCTCTCTCTCTCTCTCTCGCATCTTCTCCTCTGCCACATAGGGCAATTGCGGAGGAAGCGGCACTTCGGATTCACAAGTATCATCCTGTGCACGGCATCTCCGTAGCACCAAGCAGAATGCAAAAGCAAAACGGGTCCACCGTCCAACGTGTTCCTCTGTTTCGGGACAAGACTGGAAGCTTGTCGATTCTGGGCATGCCCATGGGTGAAGCACTCCTACCTGTGCAATCCAACCTCCAAGTCCACGTTGTTCGCAATCGAAAGTTCTCCATCCGAGTCGGACTCGGCTTGGCTATCGTCCGTCTGTCGCGATGACATACACACACCGGAGTCAAATGTTAGCACGTTTGACTGTATGTGGGTCTGTCTTTTGGAGGGTACCACTTTGTTGGGTGGATTTTAAGGGAAGCTGAAAACAGAACCAGCCTTTTTCTTGGGGCGGGGTCCCTCAGAACAGACACCCCCATTCGTCTCAAGACCCAAAAAGGCAGCGCCTCAACTCCCGGGAAGTCGGGCTCCGAGAGATCAGAATCCAGGTCTCAGTCAAGGGCTCACGCTGGACTAGGGCTCACTGCACTCACGGGAGCACCTAGTCCAGCGGCCAGCTCGAAGGATCTCCGACTGGGCGAGACTCGAGTCATCTGAGAGATGAGTTCCACTGGTTGACTTAGACTCAAAACCCAGTGCTCCTGTTGGAGCTCGTGAACCACCCCTTTGTTCAAATCTACCCGGTCAAAAAGTGGATTCTTGGGGGGGGGAGGTATCATCTTGCCTGCCGGAAGGGCTCACCGAAGCTGACTCTACCTGACAGTCAAGCCAGCTGCAGCCGGAAACCGCGACAGAAGAACGCCTCTGAGAGCGTAGGAGCATTGCGATGAAGGCAGTAGTCATCAGGACTGCAAGGGCGTGTAACAGCGTTCGTGTGATTTTCTCCTTCAGCCGCAACATTCTTGCATACTGCCTCTGGGATCTTTCAGATGAGTCATCTGACTGTGGCAAACCTTACTTGTGCTGCTCAACACTCGTTCACGGCCAAATTGGCAGCCATATCAGCTCCGCACAGTCGAGGTCGTCGTCATCGCTTACCTAGTACCCAAGCGAACGCAAAGATCGCTGCCATAGTGATTGGCGGCGTCAAATGAATCACAACTCACGCACTGGTGAATCCCGTCGATGATTCATCAATCGCGCATCACAAAAAGTCTGTGGAATTCCAGCCAGACTGCAGCATCCAAATCAAGCACATATGGTTTTAGGAGAACCGGGTGCTAGGTCTAGAACCTGATTGACCAGCCGGTGCATAGTCAATACATCTCGCAAAGCATGAAGGGCGCGCGTTCATGCATGCCGTCGCCGTAAGTCACCTCAACGCGCGTAAAGTCACAGCACTGCATGGCCACGCAGGCACGAGCGCGCGCGTCACATCAGCGCGCGTGAAGTCACATCATGCATCAGTATTTTCGTGGCAATCCTTGGCCACGCGTTTCCACAGCGCGCGCTCTGCCGCAAAACTAGCCGTTCGCGTCCCACGCCGAGGCAAAAGCAGGTTTTTCAGCCAACACCCAACAAACATTTGATGACTTTTAATGTGCTTCCCCACTGGCCACGCCAGTTTATTGGCCATCAAGGTTTGAGTTCCAAAGCCAGCCGCGGGAATGCAAATCGCACTGGCCACGCGCTTCCACAGTCTACGTCTGGTCATCAAGTTTTGAGTAATGCGAATCTCGCTGGCCACGCGCTTCCACAGCGTAAGCCGCGCTCTGCCGCAAAACTTGCCGTTTGCGTCCCACGCCGAGGTGGTTTTTCAGCTAACATCCAGCGAAACGTGTATGATTTGTCATGTGCTTCCCCGCTGGCCGCGCCAGTTTTCTGGTCATCAAGTTTTGAGTTCGAACGCCAGCTGTGGAAGTGCAATCACATCAGCCACGCGCCTCCACAGTGTTCGCTGCGCAAGCATAAAGCATGCAGTTGATGCCTTGTTGTGTTTACCACCGGCCATGCTGCTTCGGCGGGACCCCACTCCAACGCATACATTTGGGCCCACTGGCCACGCGCAATCGATGCGACTTTCCACAAGCCGATGCCACTTGAGTCTACCCCGTGTAGCTCACTGAACAGAAGATCATCGCAGTTCAGTGAGAGACATGGAATGCCCAAAGAGCGATACAATCTGGGGCAGCTAGTTACGCTGTGCATCACTGCCTCGTGAGGGTATTGCCTTGCCAATGTCGACGACAGTCGCCGTGGAAATTGAGGGAAGCACATGCCTGCGGGCAAACATGATGGTTCGCGCCGTCGCAAATGACACAGGTAACACCGCACACTGGAATCACATGGCTGCGGGTCAAAAATGTGGTAAATGGAAACATGAACTAAAATCTGCGGTCCAATTCCTGGTTGCTTCATTTTGACCCACAGCCACGTCTGTCAAATTGACAGGGCACCTCTGCCTCTTGGATACAGCGGCATGTGAAGCCTCAGTGTGTCAGCTTCACTCACACATAAAAACCTCAGGTTTGCAAGCTCCTGGGCGAAAGGCAGCATTGAGCTGATACTGTCACACGTCACTTGGAAGCATGTTGGTACAACTTGGATGTGCTAGCCAGTCGACCGCTTTACTCAAGTTTGACAATTCCTTGCTGAATCTTGTGCGCACAAGTGTGTTGCCTTTTACAGCCTGTTGTTTCTTCCTAAAGGATGTTGGCACGCATTTGGCTCCGGTTTGAACAGCCCGCTTCAGACACCCATCCAATTCAAGTGGCAAAGACGCATGATATTGCTAGCAAGTGCATGAGTCCAAGTTCAGCCATTTTGCCCTAGAGGCCGACTTCAGCTCGCAAATTGGAGCGGACGGCGGTGTGGCGTGCTTTGCACTGTGTTTGACCAAGTCATATTGGTCACTGGTCCACTGGTCACTACAAAACTCGCATAAGTGCTGAATTATTGCTACGAGCAAAGGGCAATATAGAGCCACCCAGAATTCAGCTGCATCTTGGCTTTACAAGTTTGCAGCTCACACACCTCGCCACATTCTGCACTGCGCTTAACGCGCAGCATGCAATGAGGCATGCAGAAGTTGGTACGACTTTGTGCCTCTTGGAGTTATCTCCAGGGAGGTTGTGCTGGATCTCGCCTGCGACTTCCGGGGTTTAGACAGGCTGGAACACGCATGCATGCAGCTGTTCAACACGTGGCCTGCTGAGCCTTTGACTCCATGTCAGTCGAAGAACCGGACTTTCGCCGCCGCACCTGCCAGCCAGCGACGAGCACGGAGACGACGACTCAGGACTCAAGCGAGTGTCTAAAGCGGACACTTACACAACAAGAGTAAAACCCTGGCGTGAAGGAGCCTTGGCACCTTGCAGCAAGTCAATGATCTCTTGGTGCGACCCGGACCTGTTCAAACCTGGGCTATGGACTAAGCATAGGTCAGCAAGTTGTTTGCTTGATCTGCAGATTTTGCAAAATGTCCTGTTCAAATAAAGACGCCGGGTATGCTGACCCTTCAAATTTGAGAAGTTCACCGCTGCACTCAGCCTCTCACGCTCAGCAAGCTGCCGCGCCCTGACACGAAGAAAACGCATGCGCGGTTTTCACAAGCGGATACGGACACTGAGGCAACCGCGTTTCCGAACGATGGTTCAACTTCTGCGGATCTGCACCTTGCCATATGGCAAGTTCCGAAAAAGCAGATTCTAAGAGCCTGGCCTGCTTTAAGTAGAAGCTGCACCGATTCGATGTCTTTCTTCTTTACAGCCACGTGAAGAGGGTAGCATGACCTCACGCCGGAGGAAAAGAAAAAAAACTGTCCGCATGCGCAAGAAGCTCAGCGCGGCCTCCACAAAAAAGTCTTTTTCGACTTGACAGTTTGGAAGCCGTTCTGCCTGTCAACGGCAAAAACTCGCAAGGAGCACTGTGATCCTCTCTCAAATTGTGGCAGATGTGCAGGAGAAACGGAAGAACTTGCTTCCTCGCTTCGGTCCTGGTATGCTCAGAGGCTCTGAGTCAATGTGTGATAATCGCTTTGGGTCCAGGGATTTCATGAATGTGTGCCTCTCCAGTTTACGCTGATTCTTGCTGCTTTGACCTGACGTGCAAGCCAGTCAGACTCAGTGCTACTTGGCATTGGTTCCCAGATTCATTGTTTCTCCAGTCTCTCTCTTTGCTGCTACACACTTGGCTGTGGCTCAAAAAACCGGTACCAAAACGGAACCCTGGTACGTGGAAACATGGACCAACACCTGCGTAACCCCTCCTGTTTAATTTTGAGCCACACCCACTTCAGCAGCCCAATAGTGAGTATTGCAAATGGAAGCTGCCCACACCGTCCCTCAACCCCCCTAGCTCGCTTGCCTTCCACCTTCAGCTCTTCTGTTGACGCCCCCATCGACGTTCCAGACTCCATGCCGACAGCATGTGCCTCAAAGAAGAAAACCAACAAAAAAAACGAACCAGCTCATGCGATGCCCTTTCTACCCGGTTCACAAAAATGGCTGCGGGTCGAAACTAATTATACCACCCATTTTAGAATCTATTTTAGTGGGGATTGGGATGTTCACTGGGGGCACGGGCTTTTGACCCATGGCCAAATGATGCTCACGTCTTGAAACCACCAACTTCCGAGGGCGTGGAGCCTGAAGCACGGGGTCGACAGCAGCTTCGTCCACCGCAACTTCCGCTACTCCTTGACTCTGTGCATCGTTCTCCTTGCACGGATCATGCCTGGAGTGTCTCTCCAAACTGGGCCGTCCTCAGATCCCCTGCCAATAGTTTAACTTTTAGTGGGTTAAATCGAAACAAAACGCTAAAAAGCTAAAAAGCTAGGGGGATGGCTGGGAACCACCATGTAAACAAAGCGAGTCCTTGGCAACATCTTTTGCAGATGACTTCTCCACCTCAGGTGCGCCAGCAGCTGGTGGCAGTTCAACTTCCTACACCACACGTCCGCCGACTACAGACGGCGCCTTGGACGAGCTTTCGTGGACTGAATCCTTTCATACCAGCATCACCGGCATCACCAGAGCGTGCTATACAGAGGAGATTACAAACCAAAACCTCCGGCATCCCCAGCCAGGGGCCTTTGCCAAAAAAAAGGCAAGTTGCCAACACAAACTACGCGCAAACGGAGGTAAACCAAACAAGAAGAACAAGAGAAACATCAGCAGGACAGAGCTTGGTTGTCAGTGGCGAATCCATCACTTCTGGGGGCCTGTCCAAAAAACAATTGAAGGTGCCAACAAAAAATACATGCACCCCCAGCATTGGACCTCACCCCCCAGCCAAGGAGGGTTCAAATACTGCGACTTGGGAGTAACAACACAAGGCAATCTTTGTCGCTAATTACCTACAATTCGCTGCACGTCCCCAGCGTTTCCTCTTCAGCTCCCCATTTTCTTAACAAGCTGTATGACCCCCATTGCCTTTGCTGCCCAGACCACACACAGCTATCACCCGTCGTCTGCAGCCATAGTTCCTTTGTTCTCGCCCCTCCTCCTTCTCCTTCTTAAACTGCACATAACTGCCCAAACCCAGCCGCTCTGACAACCCCCCCCGCCCAACGTCACCTTTTCCGCATTGCAGACCACACACCACAGTCCCGTGCGACCGTCCACCCTCAGCCCATTTGCCAATGGCAAACCACATCTCACTCCCCCGGGGCCTGACGTTGCTTCACTGGGTTGGCGTTCTTCGGGGAGGCGAGGACCCCCGAGGGCGGCACTAAGGGAATTCTTCCCGACGAGCACCCTCCCAGACGTCAGGGCGACAGTGCCTACCTTCCCTCATTCTCAGCCTTCTGCGGCCTTCTGTGGCCTTGCTTCACTTTGCTTCCTGTCATGGCCCCTGCGTGGCCTTCCGTGGCCCCCGCGTGGCCTTGCTTCACCTACTTCGCTTCCTGTCGCGTGGCCTTGCTTTGCCTACTTTGCTTCCTGTCATGCGTGGCCTTCCGTGACCGCCGCGTGGCCTTACTTTGCTCACTTTCTACTTTGCTTCCTGTTTTGGCCCCTGCGTGGCCTTCCATGGCCGCTGCGTGGCCTTGCTTCGCCTAATTACTTTGCTTCCCGTCCTGGCCCCTGCGTGGCCTTCCGTGGCCCCCGCGCGGCCTTGCTTTGCCTACTTTGCTTCCTGTCACGCGTGGCCTTCCGTGACCGCCGCGTGGCCTTACTTTGCTCACTTTCTACTTTGCTTCCTGTTTTGGCCCCTGCGTGGAATTCCATGGCCGCCGCGTGGCCTTGCTTTGCCTACTTTGCTTCCTGTCATGAGTGACCTTCCGTGGCCGCCGCGTGGCCTGACTTTGCCGCCGCGTGGACTTACTTTGCTCACATTTTTGCTTGCTGTCTTGGCCCCTGCGTGGCCCTCTGTGGCCCCGCGTGTCCTTGCTTCGCTTACTTTGCTTCCTGTCATGGCCCCTGCGTGGCCTTCCGTGGCCCCCGCGTGGCCTTGCTTCACCTACTTTGCTTCCTGTCGCGTGGCCTTGCTTTGCCTACTTTGCTTCCTGTCACGCGTGGCCTTCCGTGACCGCCGCGTGGCCTTACTTTGCTCACTTTCTACTTTGCCTCCTGTTTTGGCCCCTGCGTGGCTTTCCATGGCCGCCGCGTGGCCTTGCTTTGCCTACTTTGCTTCCTGTCATGCGTGGCCTTCCGTGGCCGCCGCGTGGCCTGACTTTGCCGCCGCGTGGCCTTACTTTGCTCACTTTTTGATTGCTGTCTTGGCCCCTGCGTGGCCCTCTGTGGCCCCGCGTGTCCTTGCTTCGCTTACTTTGCTTCCTGTCATGGCCCTTGCGTGGCCTTCCGCGGCCCCCGCGTGGCCTTGCTTCACCTACTTTGCTTCCTGTCGCGTGGCCTTGCTTTGCCTACTTTGCTTCCTGTCATGCGTGGCCTTCCGTGACCGCCGCGTGGCCTTACTTTGCTCACTTTCTACTTTGCTTCCTGTTTTGGCCCCTGCGTGGCCTTCCATGGCCGCCGCGTGGCCTTGCTTCGCCTAATTACTTTGCTTCCCGTCCTGGCCCCTGCGTGGCCTTCCGTGGCCCCCGCGTGGCCTTGCTTTGCCTGCTTTGCTTCCTGTCACGCGTGGCCTTCCGTGGCCGCCGCGTGGCCTGACTTTGCCGGCGTGGACTTACTTTGCTCACTTTTTTGCTTGCTGTCTTGGCCCCTGCGTGGCCCTCTGTGGCCCCGCGTGTCCTTGCTTCGCTTACTTTGCCTCCTGTCATGGCCCCTGCGTGGCCTTCCGTGGCCCCCGCGTGGCCTTGCTTCACCTACTTTGCTTCCTGTCGCGCGGCCTTGCTTTGCCTACTTTGCTTCCTGTCACGCGTGGCCTTCCGTGACCGCCGCGTGGCCTTACTTTGCTCACTTTTTTGCTTGCTGTCTTGGCCCCTGCGTGGCCCTCTGTGGCCCCGCGTGTCCTTGCTTCGCTTACTTTGCTTCCTGTCATGGCCCCTGCGTGGCCTTCCGTGGCCCCCGCGTGGCCTTGCTTTGCCTACTTTGAACCCTGTCTTGGCCCCTGCGTGGCTTTCTGTGGCCCCTTACGTGGCCTTACTTTGCCCTCTTTGCGTCCTGTCTTGGCCCTTAAGCGTGGCCGTGGCCCCCTGCGGGTCTTGCTTACTTTGCTTCCGTCTTTGGCTGCTTTACCCTTGCGGGACTTTTGTCTTGGCCCCTGCATGGCCTTCTTCGGCCCCCGTGTGGCCATGCTTTGCCTTTCTCTGCTTCCTCTTTTTGCTCCGACCCTCTGTCGCCTTCGCGTGGCCTTTGCTCTCTCTGTCTTGGGCCCTGCGCAACCTTCTGCGGCCCCGCATGGCATGTTTGGCCCTGCGTGGCCTTACCTTGCTTACCTTGCTTCCTGTCTCGGCCCCGTCGCCTTCTGTGGCCTTCTCGTGGCCTTCCTGCATTTCCTGTCTTGGCCCTTGCGTGGCTCTCCGCGGCCCCAGCGTGGGCATTACTTGCTTTGTTGTTTTCCATACTTGCGCCACCCTTGCCTTAAACCCGCTCGCCCATGCTATGGCCTGTGTCTTGGCTGCATCTAGTTTCCGGCCGTCTTGAACCCCAAGCTTCGGCCGGGGGGGAAGCGCGGGCCTGGCCTCGCTAACATGCGCTGGCCACGAACCAACCAACCAACCAACCAACCAACCAACCAACCAACCAACCAACCAACCAACCAACCAACCAACCAACCACATCTCACTATGCCCGCCCGCTTGCCCATCCTCTTTGAGCCGAGATCTCACCATGACCACACTTTCCCGTCTTACCCTGTCCAAGCCTGAATCGCAAGCCTGCCGGCCAGCTGTGGGGCGCAGCCCTTGAATACCTATGATTCCCCTCGAACTGTTGCCTTTGTTTGGACAACCCATCAATATGACCAAAGATTCTTCTTCACTTTCCTGGGCAACTCATCCCACGGATTTTCCCCAATGCGCTCTTCTTCGAGAAAAGATTTAAAAAAAAAAGAAAAGTCACGCGCTCGAGGGTCCTTCTGCTCCCGCTGGCAAGCCTCAGGCCGCCACTTCGCGCGAGTCTTCCTTGAGTCCCAGCAGCCGTGGCAAAGCCTCGCGAAGCAGGCGGTGGCGAAAACCGCCGGGCCCCTACGAAAGGGAAAATGGAAAACCGTAAATGAGGCGCAATCAAAACCTGGTACTCAAATGGTGAATCCAGAACCATGTAAAGAATTAGAAAGGCCGCAGCTATTTTGTGGTTGGGATCGTCCTTTACCAACCTTCATCTACCCAGGTTTTGATTGTGGCTCAAATGGAGATCTCCAGAAATCGAAATCCCCTCTCCCCCAATTCCAGGCTTAAGAAACCCGGTGGGGGTCCAGCGCTTTTTGCGCACCTTCTCGTGGTCATCCACGGCGTGACAGCTCTGTGTCTCGCCGGACCTTGCCTCGGCACAGGGCATTCTACGTGCATGACAAGTCAACCCAAACCTCCGCATTTACCGCCGCAAGGTACAAACTGGCAAACTACAGTCCTAAGTATTTCAATCGTTGAAGTCATGCATGCCTTTGATTGGGCCCTGTCAGCTTCACCTGAGTCGTACTCAAAACCTGGTAGTGAAATGGTCTACCCAGAACCAGAACCATGTCCGGCGTTCGGCGGCGCCCATTTCACCTTTGGGATTTCACCTTCCTCTCCCCGGGCTTCGAGAGCTCTGAGTCCGGCTCATCTCGGCACGATTCCATGCATGCTGTCTGGCCCATCACGCCTGCGGGCTGTGCGGCTCTTCACTTTCGCCCAGCCAACTGGGGCATCTCTCAGTCGACCCTATGCTTCACACATTCCCCCTTGAAGGGCCGAGCTCGAGGAGATTGACCATGAGTTTTAAAAAGAAAATGATTCTTGCGGCGTCTTGGCATGCTCATGCTGACAGGCCTGCGAGGGAAATGGATTCAATCTTTCCTAGCTAACTCTAGCCAGTTGCTTCGAAACGAGCGAGCCCCGAATCACATCTTGTCGCTGTGCAAACATCGGCTCTAGCCTGAGATCATCAGATCTGTTTTCCTGACAACATCTGTGCCCCGGATTGCCAACTGCAACCACGAATTACCAGCTGTGAAATTCACAGACCCTAGCAGTGAGCTGCAGCTCACCCCTCCAAAGCCTCCCATTGACCGACTTTGGAGTTGTCTCGCTTCTCCGAAGCATGAGACCCAAAAAAACTGCGCAGCAGCCTCTCAGCAGAAGCCGTGCTTTCCACAGACCCAGCGAATTCCCACAAATGCAGATCCTGCGATGCCGCAAAGGGTCTCAGCAACATCTGTCCAATGAGGCTTTCTTCACGACAGGACCAAATGGCTGTGGGTCAAAACCCTGTACCCCTGGTGAACATCCCAATCCCCACTAAAGTAAACTCAAATGGGTGGTGCACCTACCCCACAATGGTACCATTCTGTACAGGACTAAATGAAGAGCCGAGCGGCACAAAGTAAATCGCAATCAATGTCCAAAGTCGCCCTCCGGGGTGTCCTGAATTGCCTCAGAAAGCGCACGGGGTCCCATGCGGAGAAGGAAACTCCTCTTTGAGTTACGCCTGGAAGAAGTCGTACAGGCCATATCGTTGTGCCAGATATCTGGCGGCGTGGATATGGTCAATGGTTGAGAGCCGGTGATTGCATACACATACGATCCAGCTCGCACAATCCAGTGCCTGTCAAAGCATCCTCCTTGTCTGCTGTATTTGCGCATATCCTGCACATGTGAGCCAAGACACCGATGACCAATTCACTGGAAGTCTCGTATGCCCCTTCTACAATCAAGATTCAAGCTCTGCTATTGTGTCAGCCATGGAGAGGGCTGCACAAAAAACAAATTCGATGCTTATGCCGATGTGCCTACGGGCGGTGCCGTAACTCATGAGCTGTCCGATCTTCAGTTTTTTGGTTTAGGGGTTGGAGGAACACTGGAACTCATGCTTTAGTAGCTTCCCGCCATCATCCCATGTTTGCCGGACCTTCTGATCAACCCCCAAATACCAAAAAGGGTTGCAATGCGGTGGATAAATCTCGTCTTTGGCTTTACCGCCCCAGGTCGTGGGTTCGCATGGTTCGCGTTTTGCATAGCCTACACGGGCGCACGGGCTTGCAAACGCTCGGGCGGATTCGCAGGTCTTGCCAGACTCAAGCCCCTCTTCGTTTTCACGGAAAGGGGGCCCAGTAGATTGAACTTGTCTGAGTAACGGTCTGGGTTTTTTCCGTGTGGAATTCCCCACCTCCAAGACCTCCAGAAGGGCCAAGAGCTCCTGACGTGGCAGCTTTGGCTTCTTGAAGCGGTGAAAGCTCCGTCCTGGTCTTGCAAGTCCCCATACCAGCTCCTGATGAGGACCTTATGCAACATGTCAGAGCCTCCAATGGCATCCCATTAGCAGCCTGAGGCCCGCGCACCATTGTGGGCATTGCAGGCAACTGATATCGGAGAGTTGTCAACCAGGATGCACTGGCACAGCACATGAGGCATGTTCAATTGGACAATCTGGAAGGGAATCTCCATCTGGCAATGGTTTGCCCTGCCTTTGACAAAGGCCTGCCCAAGAGCGAGAGCTCTTTGAAGTAGGCGCCGCAAAACTCCTGACGCATAGATTCATGTCTCTCCCAGGCCTATAAGGACCTCACCACCTAAGGCCAAAGTTGCCTAAGTAGCAATGTTTTCAGTTTCCGGTTGCCGGTCGGCTTCCTTGACGAAAGGGGGAGCAGCTGACCGTGGCTGAAAGCCAAGTATGCGACTGGCCGCATGCCAAGGCGGTCCGTGCAGTGCTGGCGATAGAGGCGATGAGAAATCAAGGATCCACTTGGATCGAGGGCATTGATCACCTGCGAGAAAGGGGATTGCACAAAAAAGGACATGAGTCACAATCAAAACCGATCGGTATTGAAATGGTGTACCCAAACCAATGTAAAGAAGTACAAAGGCGGCCACAACGAATTCTGGCTCAAACTGTGCCTTACTAGCCTTCACTTACGCGAGCTTTGAGTATGGCTCACATGGGCCGCAGCCTGGTCGGCGTACGCCTGCTGCGATGCCGTGAATACGACCACGTCAAAGCTCCTGGAAATCACCTGGTTGAGCGTCTTGAAAACATACCCTGAACTGATTCAACAAGACACACCAGGCTTGTCAAGAGCCAAACACGCGCAAGTCGTGCCTCCAAAAATAGCTGGACAAATGGCCGGAAGTAGACACGGCCGATCCCGATGGATTCATCAAACTGCGCAGAGATGTCCAACAAACAGTTCTCTCTCCCTCTCTATTTCTCCCTTTTCCCCCTACCCCCTATCATTCCCTATCATTCCTATCATTCCTATCATTCCTATCATTCCCCCTAGCATTCCCCCCAACAGTTCCATCTTTCCCTATCATTCCCCCTACCCCCTAAGTAGATGCCATGGTGGCCAAGGCTTTTTTGCCGATCCTGAGCTGTAGTTGCTGCCAGCTGCGCTGGCGTGGCTCTGCGCAGCTGGGGTGCGTCTAGGCGCGAAGAGAAACTGGCCCCTGAGGAATGAGTACATCACGCTGCGCTCCATTGCTGTTCATGATTCATTACATTACATTCTGCCAGTACAGTAATGCCCTTAATTACGTTGCAGTACAGGACATTCATTTATTACGTTACATTGCATTAGGTTTCGTTGCGTTACGTTCAACTGCAGTACAGTGCATCGCTTGGCGGTGCATTACATTTACGTGGCTTTGCGGTACTCACAACACAGTACATTGAGCTAAGTCGCGCCGCGTTGAATTACATTGCGTCAAACCAATACTGCGCGGCGCGCTCCACTAAATTCCCCTGCTTTCACAGTGCCGCGTTGCGCTTCATTGCAGGCCGCTCCTTTGCCCTGGCTGTCCACGGATCCTCTCCTCTCCGCATCCGCTGTCACTGTGGACTTCTTCGCGCGAAGCCGCCCACTCCGAGGCTGATCGCATCTCTTCGTGCGCCGACGCTGCGGGCTACGCCAAGAGCTTTTCAAGCTGCCCGCGACCTTCAGGAACATGCTGAGATTTGCGTCCGCTACAAAAGCTGGTGACATCCTGAGGATGTTCTTTCCTCAAGCTGCAGAACTGGACGGAATTCACCCTTGTCAAAGAAGCAAATGTTAAGCAACCAGCTGCCAAACGGAAAAGCAGCATGGACACCTCTCCCTTCGAATGTCCTGCATCTTCCTTCAAATTTCACAGCGGACGTCAGCTTCCCTTGTACTCCGTCGTTTGCTGCGCACGTCGCCTCATACTTCTTGCGGGCTTAATGAGTTCATCCTAGTTGTCAAAGCGAGCGTGGCCTTCGTTGTTCATTCGAACCGCAACACGCTTGCCCCTAGTAAGCTGTAGGCCATACTCCTCCCAGAGAACGTCGGCACACCACGGCTCAGGACGTTGGAATCAACACGTAACAACGAAATAACAAACAAATATGGGAAAGTTGCTTGCAATCAGGCGACTCGCGCAACCCCAACAACAAAGGTCGTTTTGCGGTTGGGCCTGCGTTTGTTTGCAAAGTCGGCTGGCGGAGTCCGAATCCGTCTTGCACGCAGCAAAGAAGGGGTCCGACGGCAGGCTGCGCCCTCTGTTGACTCACGATCACATGAGCGCAATAAATGCTGCTACTCGGTAAAGAACTCCAAGAAACGTGCAAAGTGTTGCGTGCGCGCAAGAGGCCCATGCCTCTCGTGCTTACTTTTTCATCTGAGCGAACTGCAGGGCGAAGTTCGGCCCCGCTGTCCAGAATTGCTTCTTGTTCTTCCGCCGGTCGCTGGCTATATGCTGCTCTACGCGACGTACTCCCCTTTGTTTGGTTTGCGGGGGAACACTGCTGCTCCAAAACGCAGCGCGGCCGGGATGACATTCGTCTCGTAAGGCTTCGAGAAAGAGACTGCAGCCTCTCTGGTGAAATGGCTCCTGCCCCGAGCATTCAGCTCTGCAGCTCGAAGCGGTTCATTGAATGTAAGCTTGCAGTGGATGGAGGGCCTCGTCTAGGCTACACAAACCCGATCAGTTCACAGGTTCGAAGTAAGAGCTGCGAAGGAAGTTAGTAGCCTTTGCCTACGGGACTGCAAGCTCAACTTAATCCGGCACAGTATGTACATGACATTGCACTACATTCTTTGACACGGCATTACATAACATACAGAGACCTCCAGGGATTCATGTGTTCATGCGAGCCTATATGCATGTATGCAAAGTTGTTGCACAAGCCCAAATTCCTTGGCGCTCAGCTGCAAATTGTCTTTCCTCCTTTGCTCCTTTGCTCCTACCTTCCATGCTTTCTGTTTGGTTGCAAGACGTCCTTGCCATATAGCTGATGAGCTTTCCCCAGCCTTTGCTGCCATCTGATGCTTTGCTTTCGCATGTCCATTGCGCTGTCACAGTGAAGGCCAGGGCTTGAGCGCAGCTGTTTTCTAGCAACAGCTGAAATGCGAAACGGTGGAGAACCTTTCGGGTCGTGCAGCAAGTGTAGCACAAGTAGTACCAAGTCGGGTTGCCAGCAAATACACTAATACCCTAGTACACTTTCATGTCTCTGCATGTGCGCCTCCACTACCAAGTCTGGCGAAGCCTCTGGCAAAGAAGAACCCCGGAAGCAATGAACCTAGGTGTCAGATCGATCGCATCTGTGTGAGAATGCGCTTCGCAACATGTCAGTAGGGCCAACGTCTCGTCCAAATCCAACACCAAGGTGGGCTTTGCCGACGGTGGCAAAAAGGGCCTGCGCTTTGCGCTGGCAAAAAGTTGCAGGACCACATGCCTGTGCATGGCCTGGCATCACCAAGGTATGTGCGGGGAAGGAAGGGCAACTTCCGCAAGAACTCAAGTGTGTGACGCAGTTGAGGTGACAGATCCTGACCAAGTCACCAACACAAGATGTGCCTTGCAATGCATGGAATGATGAATGGAGTGTTGGCAAAGCCCAAAGGCATGACGAATTGCGACAAGTCCGAAGCAGTCTCCTCCCAGGAGTATTCCGCAGCAGATGCCTGAAGAATCAGATCGTCTGCGCAAGCGGTGCTTAAGACTTCTGAGGCGCAGACACCGTGGTGAGGCGACATGACTGAAAACTCGCAGAGCTTCTCCTTCCGCTTCCACGCGCGAGAAGCCATGCCCGAAATGTGTCAGCACTCAGTGCCTCCTTGTCGAACAGCACGGAACGCTGCCTGCCACGAGCTTAGATTTGCCAAAACCAACCGTCGTCGAGTGAAACGCAGAGCCTCGTCCTCGCTAGCAAATGTGGCTCTGGTGACCTGAACATAAGTGACCCCTCGGGCTGGGAAGAAAAAAAATCGGGTCGGAGCTTCATGCAATTCTTGCAAACAAAAGAGCCCACGCCTTGCCAGCGCCTTAGCACGCTTGAGTGAGCACAACCTGTCTGCAGATGAAACCCGGCCTTTCTGACTTGCTTGTGCGTCAAGGCAGCCTGGTTGTGTGTTGGCTTCAAGCTCAAAATTGCAAATCTCGTGGCAAACACGTGCTTGGGCCTGAAGGGCGTCTGCATGAGCACGCCGGCGATAGCTTGACCATGACCCTGCCCACACTGTTGGCTGTGCTTTGATCAGAACAGCCTGCGAGCAAGCCGCGAAGGCTCGCCTTTGGGAGGAGTGATCAAACCAGCTTCCGCACAGTTGGCGTTGACCTGCCAATGCCGCCATCTCTCGATTGAGCGTGAGCATCTTGCACATCCGAAGGCGTCCAAATCGGGACCTCGGACTTCTCGGGTGTGCCCAGAGAGGCCAAAGGCCTCAAGCTCAGCTCGCTGTCTCGCTGTCTCGCTTGCAAAGCTTCAAGGTTCGAGTAAGACCGAGGCGGCTTGTTGAAGCCTCCTAGAAAGGCCGATCTTCAAGCGTGTTCCGGCAACTCTCGAAAACACCCGCAAATTGGAAGACACCCCGCGATTCTCCCATGCACTCCTGACTTGAGAAGGTCTTGGCCACTTTGAAGCCTGTGGCTGCATTTGTGGCAAGAAGGCAGCTGAAGCAATGGGTTCACACCACGAGCAGGGCATACTTTGACGGACTAGCACTTACAATACAAGAATATGACCTTAATCTCAGCACCTTCGTGAAATGCCGTCAAATGCAAGTGAAACATGCGCTTTGCTTCAACATCACGAGTTTTGCTTGAGATTCTATGTGCAACGGGGTGGTCGCTCGGACCCGGAAATTGTGGAACTTCCCTATTCTAAGTGCCATTCCGTCCCTGCACAACTTGGTGGGGATTTGCCCAACATGACGTGCCTGGAGGCAGGTTGCGCGAGGAGCTTGGGCGCCAGTGTTGGCCTGCCTGGAGTGGGACATTGCCTAATATAGGATTGTTAAACGTCTTGGGACACAAGGTGCATGGATGAGTTGCATCTGATATGCAATATCCGGTCATACTGTGGATGGACGAAATCCTGCACCACTTTGACACGTGGGAAACCTGTATCTGTTGGTATTTACAGGAAAATCACCATTCCAAGTTCTTAGGGGGTGCGAAATGGATTTTGTCCATCCGCAATATCCGGTCAATAGTGATGGTTCGCGTTGGCGCCGCCGGCCCGCAGGAATGGTAGCAACCAAAGGCATGCGGCGTGCACAAGCGACTTGACCTTGACTTGTTCCATTCCGAGACCTCACATGACACAGTTCCTCAATTGAACTTTGCTACGTGTGCTTCAGCAATCTTTCTCTTCCACTATGCTATTGGTCCATGTGGGCGTGGATCAAAAATAGGCACCCAAAATGGAACCCTGGTAAAAGGAAACAAGGACGAACACCTGCGGTCCCCTGGTGACGTAATTTTGACCCATACACATAATATGTTCACTTCCATGCACATTGCAAGGCCCCATCCACGCTGGCGATTTGTGTCGCCCTTAAAAATGGTCGCGCAATGCAGAGCATAAAGACTTCCCAACACAAGGACAAGGGACGATGCAGCAACTCGTCCACATGGCATGCCGGTTGCACCGAGCCGATTGTCTGATGAATTTCTACTCGCCACGTGCGGAAACAAAGTCATCGCACCGCCCAGCTCTTGAGAATCGTTGAGCTCCTTGAAGGGACTCTCCCTTCAAAGCGCCAAAATCTACTCTAGGCAGAGTCAACTGAACGTTGGTGCAAGCGGCGATTGCATGTTGCACAGTGGTCTTTTTTGTTTGTAATAGAAACACATTTATCAAACAGCAATGCTATCACACTTGTGCCTGGTGTCATGCACATTTACATGCAGGATAGAACAAGCGGACTGCTGATCACAACAACACACTCAGTCCACCATCATTTCAGCATTGCAAATTCCTGCCTGCTTCCATTTGCAATGAGTGCCTCACAAATGCAGCCAAAGGTGGGATCCAACATGCATGTCTGAGTGCGAGCACTCCGCCTTGCCACTGCTGCTCCGCACAAACGGTCGTGCACTCAATGCTCTAAGACTCCAAGTCTGTAAAGAAGTCTCAAGAAGCAACTCAACAAGCTAGTGACCTGTTGGCGTTTGAGACGTCACTCAGCAAATCAGGCCAAATGATGAGAAGTGTCTGCATGTTCTCACTATAAGCCTAGAAGCTGCGAGAACGTGAGCACCAATAGTGAAAACGCACGTAAATTGCCAAATCATCATCAGTTTGGCAAAGGAAGCGCAAATGGCTCTTGATTTTCCACTGGGTTTTATTGGTGATGCCATTGCCCTGCTCACTCACCAAATTTGATGCGCGATGCCGAACCTCACAAATTGCGCACATCCAAATCTGGCGAGAGGAAAAGCCGGGAGCTTCTCTTTTGAAGACGACATAGACAGGCTGAGAGAGTGGCGCGTGCACGGATGGCGTGGAGCCTGACCTGCAAGTGCAGCACCGCAGCTCTTGCCCCTGTGTCACCTGAGTTTGGAGCTCGAGGTCTCTTGACCTCGGGCATCAGCGACATGAGCAGATGGAGTGTTCGCTGCCATGGCACCGCACTCCTTGTCGGAAGAGTTGCCTCAGTCGCAGTCGCGCAAAAGGCCGAACAGTTTCACCCGGGCGTCAACGAGAAGCTGGGGTCCAGCATGTCAAGCTACACATATAGGGCCCTGGCCACGCATTCGGGCAGGCTCGGCCAAGGTCCAGTCCACAAACAGCCCATTGCGAGCTGTCTTGCAGAGAATTGCAACAAGGCTCTAAAAAGGCTGCAAGCAAAACCCTCAGGGTGGTTTTGGCCCTACCTGTCCACTGCTTGCAGCAGCTAGACTGCGCCTTGCATGAATTCGATGCCACTGGGCTGACTCTCCTTGAAATTGATTGCACTGTCGCACAATGGCTTGGAATGATGCTGTTGGAGTCAAATCAAGTGACTTACACATAGCGCAATACAAGAACTTCAAAAGTCAGGGAAAGCGCTCACAGAACCTGCAGCACCATGGATAATGTACTGTCTGCAACTCCATGTCAGCTCTTCCCTCCTCACCTCGTCTCACCTCAATTTCGGTTCCGCCTGGCTTTGTGCCTCAACAAACTGCAAATGGCAAAAGGCCAGGTTCCGTGCATAAACAATCCGCTGCACAAAATGAAATGGTGATGGGCGCACGTTTTCCAGTCTTCAATGTCCTGCCGTGCATGCGTGAGCGCTGAGCTTATTTTGTGGCGCATTTGTATCGATTCAGAACACATCGGTCTTTGCAAAAAAATGGGTGGTCTCCTTTCTCCAGCACGAAATATGTTATTACGTCTTGACCAACCACTGCATCTGCCAACCTGGCCTGATCCAGACCTTGCTTCTCTTCCTCCTTCGCCCCAATGCGGAACTCTCATAACCACTGCTCAAGCAAAATTGCAGCTCTTGCAAAACCCGCGCACCTTCTGGGTGGCACGCCACGCAGCTTTCCGCGCCGCCTTTGCATCCAATCGAAGTCATGCGGTTTGATTGATGGATGGATGGATGGATGGATGGATGGATGGATGGATGGATGGATGGATTCATTGATTCATTGATTCATTGATTGGGTGGTGGGCTATCTTTGTTGCTAGGGGGCTTAGAGCACCGAACACTTACTATGACCTGTGAATGACCTGGAACACTGTAGTGTGTTAGAATGAAAAAACTGTGTAGCCTCTTCCAGAGAATAACTTTGCGGATGAGAAATTGCAGGCACCAGGCAGATGGGCCAATTGTCGAGTGAGATCACAAGATCTACTCTGGCCATAAAACCAAATGGCTGTGAATCTTAATTGGGGACCCTGTGGTGGACATCATTTACATGGGGATTTATGTCCACCAGCCACTTTTGAGGGGATTCCCCATTTAAATTCATAACACCAAATGGTCTGGGCCATGCTTCTCCAGTAAGGCGTCTATCTTCGTGACGACACAATGCTGGCTGCGCCGCCCGTGTCATCTCCCGCTTCACTGGCTCCTGAAGGGAAACACGGGCGGCATGTCAAAACCAATGGGATCCCATTTCGGGGTAGGTGAATTCACCCCCCATTTGAGAACCTATTTTAGCGGGGATTGGGATGTTCACTGGTGGTACGATTTGGATTTTGACCCATGGCCATTTCTCAGAAACAGGGCCTGGCATGCAACATTTGAAAGTGCCAATACGAGCTGGAGCTCTTGCAAGTGAATGACATGCGACTCACAAGCCTTCGAACTTTGTCTCGGGCGATCTTTATTGGCTGGCGTGCAGTCCTACGAGACACATGTGGCTTGCCATGTTCAACGGCTTCCTGTACTCGGTGCACGGTGACGCATTGCTCATCCAACATCCTCGAGACACTCTTCAAGCATCTCCGCGAATCGCATGGTGGCCTTGCACGCGTAACGTTTCCGACGTGTCCCGTGTCCGACGTGTTGATACCAAAATATGATGACTCCTGCTTTCCAAAACTTCTGTTGCAGAATTACTTCTTTACGTCTAGCATTCTTAAGGGAGATTGGTAACTCCAGATTGCGAAATCCACCAGTATGAGGCACATGTGCTGGCGTGAGGCGCTTGGATGTTGACTACAAACGTCACTCTTTGCGAAGAACCTCCTGGGGCACAGCTCCATGGCGCAGGCAGAGCACGATGCAGCATGACAAGCGCATGTGCTGCGAGGCAGACGCTCTTTGAGCAATTTGAAGGTTGGCCGCATGGAACTTCGCCTGCGACGGGCAGAGCTGCCTTTCAGACCTGTGCCCCAGTGCGAGTCTTCGAAGCCGGGGGTTGTATGCCACAAGGAAGTCAGTTGCATCTGGGAGCGGCCAAGGAAGGGCGCGGAATCCTTGCTCTGTGGGCCGGTGCTGTGAGCGGACCTTCTCTCAGCAGGAGCTTGTGGCTGACTTCTGGTCAGAGAGATGGGGCGATATTGACAAACACATCCTGTGATTCGTCCAGTCAATCTCAAGACGGAGAACCGAGTTTCATTTCCTCAGGAACCCAAAGGCCACAAACTCGGGTGGAAGCTTTGAACACTTCTCAGCATCCGCGGGGACCCAGGCCCCATATAGCCAGGGTTCCATTTTTGCGACTACCCCCAAGGTCCTGACTCCAGAACTGAAGTCTGGCAAAACGAGAGAACGAATTGAGGAAGTCGCTTGATTGCACGGCTACAAGAGAATGACCCACCATCCTCCCCTGGGAGCCGGAATATCAGTCGGCCAGTTAACGTGACTTGTTGTGCTGGAGCAGCCCCTCTGACATGTCATCCTTGGATAGGCTCTCAATGAACTTCCATCCTAAGCCTTTGCCCTTCGCTTTGCCATTTGTTGAGGATTCTGTGCCTCCCTTGCGTGTGGCAAGACAGTGGGCTACAGCCACAAGCCCATCCGCGTCACATGTTCAGCTCAGGAGAGACTCGTCCGTAGATTCAGGAAAGGAAGTATCCGCTCCAAGGTGAGGATGCAGCTTCAGTGGTGGCCAGGACAATCACTTGAGCGAGCCGCTCACGGCAGCACCTTAGCAAGAGTCCGCTGCAGGAGAAACAGCTCACCCTATGGATCCATTCATCCATCCATTCATCCATCCAGTCATGCATCCATTCATGCATTCATTTATCCATTCATCCGTCCATCGCAAGTGTTTGAAAGACATCCTCGTCCTCATTTGATAGCAACTCAGCGCGTAGCTCAAGGGCCCGGCTAAATAAGAAACCCAATCAGACCAAACCGACGAAGCGGACCAAACGCCGAAGTGGACCGAGCGTCCCAAGCGGCCCAAGCGGACCAAGTGGAAGCGGACCAAGCGGACCGGAGGGACTCAGGCACAGTGATCAATCCAGGGACGAGTGATACGTGCACACGCTCCAGGGCAAACAAAAAGAGGGCTTCCGCAGGCAGGGAGCATCGAAGAATGTGGCCAAATTCGCGTGCCTTCAAGAATCCCGAATCGCACGAGATCGCATTAGTTCCACGGGCTTGAAGCCCAATTTAGCCACGGAAGACAGCCAGTGGCCAACTGGCTTGAGATGTCTCCTCATTGGTCCTGTTCACCCCGTCTTTCTACGAATTGCATGGCTCGATTTGCTGCTAGGTTTCAGAGAAGAACACACAAAGATGCACCAACAATGGCACAAAAGTGTCAAAGCAGTCTCTGCCCAGGCAAGAGACAGCTTGGAACTTATTCAAATGTCGGTACCACCGTGGACTGCGCTCGCCTCTTTTGTACTCGGGTCGACTTCCATGTAGTCGGCACCCTGGCGGCTGGCGGCTGGATGCCAGGTGAACACTTTTGCATACGGACAAACTGCAGATGCGCTCGGCATGTCGAAGCTGTTTGCACCTTTGTGCTGGTTGGCAAATCCTCGACCTGACAAGTTCAGACAGTGCCCGCACAAAAACCGGGTGCAGCACTTCCCGCCTTTGAATTCAGCCTGAGGTGTTCAGACATCTCAGCCTGCATGTCAAAAGCATCAGCATCTTTCTTGCATGTCACTGGGGAGTGGGCTGCAATTGCATCAACTCGATCACAAAGGACCCAATCCTGCCAGGCATCTCATTCAAAGCATGGCCAGAAACTCGTGGCGCCTTTTCAGCTTCATACTCGCATACAGTCCAATCTGCAGGCACCTCACGCAAGAGTCAGTTGCGGGTGGCGTTCCAAGCGCAGGCACACCTGCCGTGGTCTGCGTGTTCTGCGAGAGCTTGCCATGCCTCAGCCGGAATGAAGCCTTCAAAAATGAGGTTGCTGACAACTGAGCGCTTGGCATAGCTGACGATTCAGGTCCGCCTGGGCTATGGTCGCACGTAGGAAATGTCATTATGGGATGGTGTGAAAGATATGTCTAATCTCTTGAAGGATTCTAACCTTGCTGTTTTGCGGGCAACGTCATCCAGCAAAAGCATCAACTGCAAACCAAGCAAACTCTGACACCGGAGTACTCGAACATCAAGCCAGAGCTTTATTACGGTCAGGAGCAGCAGCAGCATCAGCATCAGCAGCAGTGGCAGCAGCAGCCGCGGCGGCGGCGGCAGCAGTAGCACCTCCAAGACAGAAACCCGCCTGCAAGCCAGCGTAAATGGCCCTGGTAGCATAATTTATCTGGATCCACGAGGTTGTAGCACACATCTATGATCATTCCTACGCGACCTGCATGGGAGTGTGCGACTACAGCACGCGAGTGTGCGAGTAGAGCGTGCGAGCATGTGAGCGGACTGCGCAAGTGTGCGAATGGAACGGGCGAGCGAGTCGAGTGGACGACGGGTGGACGATTAGACGAGTGGACGATCATACTGTTGCGAGCGGCTTGAACACTCACCCACCCCACTCCCACACTTTTCACTCGAACAAAAATACGGTCCTTAGTTTAGACCTTATTCCACAACAGCTGAGAGCTATGGAGTCTTTGCTCTGATTTCCACCAGCAGCACTAGCACACCCGTACCACCCCAAGACCTTTGAGAACCGATGCCAGCCTTGCAGGCCACATTTAGCAGAGGCTCAGCACAAGAGCACCTACAGCTTTCTCACAAAAAAGAGAGGCAAACGCAAAGCGGTATTCTTCAGTGACTGCGCTCAGAAAGTACACTTGCGTGTCTGGCGTCTGGCATTCTTGGCCTCAATCGGTGCTGAAAATGTTTAGCGGTACTTCAAGACTTGAGAAAGCTGGGGCTGGACGAGGCGCAAGGGGATGTTTGGATGGGCACTGATGATTGCGGTCAAGTCGTGTTAGAGGGGGCTGGCTGGTGCTGGTGCGACTGCTGGGAATTTCTGGGTGCCGAAAGGGGGTGCGGGCAGCAAAGTTCGATTTCAGCCAAAGCCGCGCATGCAACAAAGCACGAAAGATCCAAAAACGACCTCCAGCCGAGTCGAGCCTCCGGAAAATCTGATGGACGGCGGACAGCCACCACTGCCATGGCCGATCGATGACCTGGCCGAAAAACCGAGCAGCCGAAAGCAGGCAACTCCTTGGTGGTTCCGAGTGGTTTGAAGCTTTGGCTCTTGTGGAGGGTAGATGGGAAGCCACCCCCCAAACCAATTCGAGGGAAGCTGAAAGTGAGGTCCAGCCTGAAAGCTGGGGTGCGGCGAACGCAGAGAGGCTCAGAGATTGGCTCTGCGAAACAAAACAAGGCGTCAGCCATAAGCGAGGTCTGCCAGCTAGGAAAAGACGCCCAGCAAAGGCTGATAGAAGGGACCCTGTCTGTCCTGGGCCTACCTTCAAGTGCACGCTCAGCGGTCCTTTTTCATTATTAGCCTTCGACGCTCCAGACACAACACAGGCTTGCACAAGCCCTCGGTACCTGGACACAAACAACTTAGATTAGCCTGGAGACTTCTCCGATGTGGACTAGGCATCCTGCGATCATTTTCTTTTTCTCAACTGCACCAAGCAAACTGCAAAAGGTGCCCCTAGTCCACACAACTGTGTACAACTTGTACCTGACATGCATTGAAACTGAAACCAAAGGCTATGCAAGTTGTTTGCGGCTGGCCTGCGCATAACTCAGGGGAGTGACAAATATTTATCTGACAGCGAGACAATCTCAAGTTGTTCAAGGTGTCCCTGGCCAGCCGGCAAACCGAATTATGAAGAGCTGTTACTCCAGGAAGTTCTGCTTAACATATTCGATGGTCCGAAGGCCGGGTTCTGGCCCGTCTGTGCAACCTAGTTGTAACAGCCCTCCTGGGAAAATGGCTGAACGCGCTTGTTGTGAAGCATGGAACGTGGCGGAACGGGATTTGAAGCTTCTAGCAAGCTTCAGGCCACATAGCTTTCACCTGCTTCTTCCCAGACGTCTGCAGCATGGTCGCCCGTCATGCGGAGGTCTGGCCTTCTTGAAAAGTGACAACAATGCGCTGGGCAATGCTGAGCGGTGCGCCTTCCTCATCAGATTCAAGCCTTGCTTTCCAGGGATACGGGCAAGACATCCGGGCCAAACGCATCCCATCAGCCGAAGCCCATGCGCCTCGAACAGGCTTCATTCGCCTCAGCCTCCACATCATGAAGCCAGGCTCCGAGCACGATTGCCTGCACTCGACAGCCACTTCAGCAACTCCATATCTGATGTTTGCTCTCATCTCTTCTTGCCAGGCTTGCTGCTTGCCATGTTTGCTTTGCCTTGCTTCACCTTGCAAGTTCCGCACCTCCAGCATGTCTGCGGGAGTAGAGGTAACAGTTGCATCCTCCGCCTCAGCTTGCAGGAACTGCACTTCTGATCATCCCAACGCAAGCAAATGGGTATGGGTCAAAATGAAACCACCAGGAAACCGCTGGTTTTAGTCCTTGGTTCCATTTACCAGGGTTTCCTTTTGGGTGCCTATTCTTCACCCACACCCAAATGTTGCTTCTCCAAACATTGTTGCTCTGCCGCGCCTGACTTTCACCCCAAACAGCGTCAGCCTTGCAGACGGAACGAGCTTCAGGGTGAAACTGCGTGAACCATCTAAAAATACGGCCGTGAACAAACAATCATTGCACTCCAAGCCTGCAGTCGCATAGCCCAAGCAACAGCTTGTGATGGCGTTGACAGTATGGACAGCGCCTGATTGTTGGCCCGAGAATGGCACAGATCGCTGCAATATGCTGAATTCCATGTCTCACTCGTGCATCAGATTGAGACACTGGCCTCAGGATCAAATTTCCCTAGCCAGCCAAGATACCTCGGTACTCAGTGCCGAACAAACCGGGTCTTGACAATACAGACATGAGATGCTCACGTCGCCAGTCCAGGTCTTGTCTCGCCCATTCTTCTCAATCTGCGAAACACCTGCAGAAGCGCTCAGGTTCTACATAGGCACACGTGTTCTTTTCGACGTCAGCGTCGCTCAGCAAGGATTCAACGCACGGATTCCTCCTGCAGGCTTTGGTGTGCTGCAGCACCTTTGCATGAGCTAACTCGAAAGCCTCAAGCGCCAGAACTGACCCAGGGCATGGGCTGTCCGATGGTTCTGATGCCTCTTCCAACTCATCCTGCACACTGACGACCACAAGACCACAAGGCATTCCATTCGGTGACCTGGCTGTCGAAGTTTTAGCCAATTCAAAGGGGGCGTGACAGTGGAGAGCAACGGCATGACTGGTTTGATGCTTGTTCCATCTTGCTGCATGACTTCTATCCGGAAAAATCGAAACTGTCCGTGCGAAAGCAACCCCTTGCTTGTGAATGATCTAGCAGGGACAGGTTTCAAGCGGGCGCGCGCAACTTCCAGGTTTCGGGGCTTTCCACATGCGGGTACGCCTGCGACCTGGCTTGGTATACAGGCCATTTTACACGCATCGCACTGCAGGGCTACAAGAAGCTGATGCAGGAGTGCAGCTATGTGGGGGTTGATCAATATTCCATTTAGGGCCCCAAAATGATGGGTAACTTGTCCTGTTTAGTGGTGACTTTGTCATCTGGTTTGGTGGTTTCCCTGATGGACATCCCAAGTATCACGGAGCTTTTGATCAACCCCCATGTCACCGTTGTCTCAAGCCAGAACCATGTTGCCTTTGAATCAACCCCCATGTTGCAAGAATCTGATGCGTTGAATTGGGTGTGGCTCAAAATTCAAGAGCTAGGGTTGCGCGGATTTTCTTTGCTTCCACTTGCCAAGGGGGCCGTTTGGGTACATGTTTTCGAGCCACAGCCAACTGTCTCGGTTGCAAAGGGCCTCGCTGCTCCGCGTTTCGCCTGCCACGGCGGGCTGCAGCCACAGACTCTCGAGCTCCTGAGCACGTGCCCAAGCGGAAATGCATGGCACCTATGCGGGTGCCTCGTGCTTTTTTTTAAACACGTTGAAACCAGTTGGTGTCCCTTGGATTCCAACAAACATGGGTACCTCAAAAAAGAACCCTGGTGGTTTAATTTTGACCCATACCCATGTCACACTGTCTGTTGAGACTGCGGGTTCCTTCCGATACATCTCCGCTTCGACTGGCAGCGGGACGAAGGTGCAAGCAGATCCATCTGCCTGCGGTGAACTCCGAACGGGAAATCGCTCAATCAGTCCCAATCGCCTCGTACCGAATCTCGGCTTGGCGCACTGCGTAGCCAAAACGCATCGCCTCAGCGAGAGCTCCCGATGCTTGTCCCACACAAGTATTGCGTTTGCAGCGTTGCAAACTGTGACATGGAAGGCTGCGGCAGTTTTGTCATGCTGACCTTGACAACAAGTGCCTTCGGGAAAAACCCATGATACTGGCCCTCTATCGCCTTGTTGCAAACTCCTGTCATCTGGTATTGCCAAATATGCGACCGTGGCGTGGAGTTGGCTGCCAAAAAAAAAACAGTTGAAAGAAAACATACACAAAAGCTGTGCTCAAGGTAAATTTGAGCCCAACAAATGATCGCGTCAATCCTTGTTGCCTGGTCAAGCACTGAATGTGCTTTTCTCTGCTACACCACTAATGGTGGATGATGTCGGATGATACTTTGTGCATGTTTGAACTCTGGCTTGCCTGCTAGCTTGGAACGCAAAGGTCTCAATAACTTGGGTTCCACCACCACTAGCACCCCTGGGTATTAGCGACAGCAGCTGTGCAAAATCCCTAGCGCCAAGCGCAAACACACGGGCCGCTTTGACCTTCATAGCTTCGGTCAATGTTACACATCTCAATTTGCGTGGAGTGCACCTTGAATCTATGCAATCTCTGAACTAGACTAGTGTGTGATTGAGCGATTTGAGGAACTCTATCATCCCTGATGCACTGTGACCCCGTGTGATTTGCTGATATGCTGAAGAACCTTGCTGCCACAATGCCTCAGATATCAGCAGCCGCCTACTGTAGCAACATGTTGTCTTGCAATCTACTGGTGAGAGCTGCAAAGCTTCCTGACCGCTATGACTCACAGGAAGCTCGGAAGCCAGAATGAGGTCAGCACGCCGGAGTAGACGGATTTCGCATCTTTCTGTTTGAGCCTGCACACGCGCGCAAGGTGGATCGGGCGAGCGTGCCATGCAAGCGTTTTCTGAAGCCAAGACCTTGGGAAGCCTGCCGTTCCGGCCAAGCCCAGCACGTGGGCCTGCCACACGGGCAAGCTAAACCATGAAGCGCAAGCAAGCCACGGCTTGCACATCCCAAACGGCACAACCGAACTAGACATTGTCTGACATCAGCTCGTGTCAAGGCCTCTGCAATCATGCACAAGTCCGGGCTGCAGGTACGGTGCAAGGCCTGGAATCCAGATGATGTGAAAGCCAGTGAGAAAACGCACACAGGCGAACTGCCGAAGTGTCCTTCATTGAGACATCCCCGTACGACCTGATGTACCTGCCAAGCTCAAGCACAAACTTCAGCATTGGGCACAAGCACGTCCAAACTGCGCACACATCATAGTCATCTTCGCTTTCTGCACAAGGCCTACGAGCAAAGATGGGGAGGAAGAAAGAAACGTGCAAACGAGCGTTCTGCGTTCAGCCTGACCCTCTCAGGCCTGGGAGGAGCTTCAGTCTGGCGATGGAACCGCATATAGATGTCAAGCAAAAGCACCTCGGCCTGCAATCCAGGTCTTCACTCGCTGAGACTCTCCGCAATGTGTCAAAAAAATCACCATGGAGTTTCGCCTGCTCTTCGGGCGGTGATGAGCCTCAACAGCGTGGAGTGCTCATGATGTGCAGGATTCTCAAACGCTGTCTGCACGAATGCGGACAGCGGGAAGCTGGATGCGAGCGCAATTCAGAAGCTCGCATCTTAGAACTGGATCCGGCGCAAATCACCAGGTGTCTAAGACATGGCATGCATTCAAACGGCAGGCGCAGACAAGCTGGCATTCACGATCGCGGATTGAGTCGCCAGGCTCCAATATGTGAGCTGAGGGTCACTCAAACAATACAAACTGTGGAGCAGCAGCTGTGAAATGGAGCCAACCCTTGGTCGCAAACAAGGGCTTTTGCTGCTGCTTATTGCCAGAGCAAGCTGGCATTCAAAAACAAACTATGCACTATTCCCGCCCTCCGCATTTCCCCAGAAATTGGTAGCTGTGCTGAGTCTTTAGCGCGGCCATGTCCAGTCATGTCGTGGAAAATGTGTGCGTTGTGAGGTTTTAGCGGCGGGCAGCCTGCTCATCATGCATGCTGCTGCAGCCCGACGCTCAGATACGCTGTATCTATAGTGATCCTCACAATCTGTGTCTTGTGGCTCGCAAGCTCAGCGTTGTGATTGCGGCGCGTGTTATCATACCTGTATGCCCGCGTACGTGGCATGCTAATCAGACCCAAGTGCATGCGCTGTTCTCCACCTCAAGCGCTGTCTGAAACTGCGGTGCATACGGCAATCGGCAGGGCTATGCTCCGAACACCATGGTGAAAGCGCGCTGGGTTCCAGGTTTGAAATACTAGACACGCATTCCTTGAATGTGGAATAAGAGCTCGCAGTGCAAGCTGCTGTCAATGATCCGTTTCTGGCAAGTAATGAGCAGGCCATTAGATAAACGACACTAAGCAGTCGACCCTCGGGCTGGCAGGCAAAAAAACTACGTTACACTGAGGAACAGTCCTAAAATGTTATGCGGGCAAGCTTTGCCATGAGTTGTTCTCAAAGATATTCAAAGGAATTACAATCGCTCAAATGCACTGAGATAACTAATACTAAGGCTGCTGCGACTGATTGAAGCTCGCATGTGTTCGTACTTGCACAGAAGCTCAAACTCCTGCGAGACAAATTGCATGTGTTACTGTGGTCTCACTTTCTCAGAGCTCATTCGGTTCATGGGATTTTGTCATCCAAGGGTCGCTCCACTTCATTGACTCATAGTCTTTGCTTATCTGACAACTCCTGTGGTGGCCAGCCGATATGACCGGCTAGTTGCATTGAAGCTATGGACGGTGAAAAGCAGCATAAGTGCAGTGTGACTCTGAAAATCCAGCTAAGACACCGAGAGAGAGTGAGAGAGAGAGCCGCAAAAATGAAGTTAGAGCACTGTTTGCGGATGACATGTGTCTGATAGGTGCAGGGATAACATCGGAAATCGTATGCGAGCTGACCGTCCTTGGGCGATCGATGCATTGATATCTGCAAGGCCCTCCCGGACGACGATTTCGGTCGCAGCGGCCCAGGAGCCAAGCGCCTGCAAGAAGTCAACCAATTTGCAGGCATTTTGAGATGGCTGTGGCTCAAAAAACCGGAAGTCCAAAATGGCTTGCCCTAAGTGGAAACATGGACCAAAACCTGCGGTTTGCCCCTCCTGTTTAATTTTGGGCCACACCCAGATGGGTCTGCATGTTGATTCGGGACCCTTTGGTGGACACCATTTAGGTGTCCACCAACCACTTTGGAGAGAGCTTCCTACTAAAATTCATAGCGAACCTGGCCTCAGCTTATTCGAAGGCTCCTTCTTTGTGAACGGTATGCACGCACCGTCAGCCTGGGCAGTGCATTCCCAACCGAGAAACTGAAAAGGAGAAAGCATCAAGACCATGCCACGCAAACGAATGAAACGAATATATTAGGGTATGGGTCAAAATAAACCCGCCAGGAATCGGCCCGCAGGTTTCAGTCTTTGGTTCCATTTATCAGGGTTCCATTTTGGGTACGCATTTTTGACCCACGGCCATATTGCTTTGTCTTGCATCAAAGAGCCAAGCCAGGATGCACTGTGCTTGCACTTTGCAACAGTGTGAAACAGAAGCTGGGCATGCACAGACATGACGCAAAGATCCACCTTCACAAAAACGTTTTTGGTAGGTGATGTGAACACGTGTCTGCAAGACACTTAGGGTTCAGCGGATTTATTGCTGAACAATGGAAGAATAAATTGCTTAGAAGCAAATTCAAAGGGGTGCGGATTTATTTCGGGATTTGTTTTTCGTTTTTTTGGGGGATGTGTTTTTTTAGTTGTTCGTCCGGGCCAGTAAAAATGTCGTAGTTTACAGCATGACACACATACTTTCTAAATATGAAGGATTTAAGAACGACAAGACATTCTATGTTGATTTAGAAGGTGGATGCTGTGCTACAAAAAGAAGAATTGATTTAAGAAAATTGATTTATAATACAATGTTATGTATTGAGATTGATGAAAACCAACATAAGTATTAAATTAAACAAGATGAAAACGATAGATACAACAAGTTATTCACGGAATTTTCCGGTAAATCCATTTTCATTAGATATAATCCTGACAAATTCATAGACAAATACGAGCAATAAATAAAATCCAATGTTTGAAACGAGAATGAAAGTATTAGACAAGTCCATCAATAAACACATTGAAAGAATAGAAAAAGGTGAAAACGAACTGGTAGAAATACACCATTGTTTTAATGATGAATAATTAAAATCTAAATAACTGTAATAAATAAATTTATTAGAGTTATTGTCTGGCACAGGTTCAGTTGGAACTATTGCGAGAGATTTAGGTTTCAATGTTATATCATTGGATTTGAAGAATGCTAACATTAATACTGACATGTTGAAATGGAATTACAAAGAGTTTGACAAAGGGCATTTCGATATTATTTTGGGCTTCTCCACCTTGTACTGAATACAGCAGAGCGAAAACAACAGGAATAAGGAACATAGACTATGCTAATAGCATTGTTTTAAAAACCATTGAAATAATAGATTACTTCAATCCTTCGTGGTGGGTGATTGAAAATCCACAGACAGGATTATTGAAAGAACAACCTTTTATGAATGGGCTAAGATACAACGACATTGATTATTGTAAATACGGCTTTAATTACAGGAAAAGAACTTGGTTATGGAACAACCTTGATAAATGGAAACGGGGCGACGCCCCCTTTACACACGGAGTGTGGAAACCCCGAAGTTTATGTAATAAAGATTGTGGTAAGGTGGTTAACAATAAACATATTGAAACAGCACAACGCTTACCTAGTGGTCGTAAGGAAAATTGGAGCGCGAATTATGTTAAACATAAACAGGAAGACCTTTACAAAATCCCTAGTGAGTTGATTTGTGAAATCTTGGTTTGTCTCTGGTAGTGCAACGGAGCAAATTCAAAAAGTGCCAATTTACATTGTGTGTCTCGCTCTTGGGAGGGTTTCTTCACGCTCTTGGGAGGGTTTCTTTCCGCTCTTGGGAGAGTTGGTTTGCTTTTGGTTTCATTGATAGGTTGCTTTGGAATGTTCTTTGTTCTGTTCCTTGTTTGTCTTTTGGTTATGTTCTTTGTTGCTGGGGGTTTTTTGGATAAGGGGCCTTCAACCTATCTGAGTAAATATTTTGTCTAAAAACGGTTTAAAGGGTTGTTGGTATAGTGTGATAGAGGTTGTGGAGAAGAAATATTGTTCGGGTTGTCAAAGAGATAAGAATGTGGATTTGTTCACGGAAAATTATAAAATGTGTGATAAGTGTCGTGAAAAGAGCAGAAGAAAAAAACAAGTAGTATATCAGTGCGATGAATGCAATTGTGATGTCAAAAAACACATAAACCAAAGCACGAACGAACTTACAGGCACAAGGAAAATTTGGAAAAGAATGAGGTTAAAGATGTTTGAAACGGTTTAAGTTATTCAACAAAATGAATAACTCAAAACATTTGACAGGTGGATAGGATTTTAAAGAATTTATGTATTAAAATGTTATGTTAGATTTGGGGGGCGCTTTTAAAATGGACTGAAAAGCCTAGGGTGGTGTACACATTTTGAAGTGGGTTAGAGGCCTACTGCTTGCTGTGGGGGGCGGCTGATGTTCGCAGAAGTGATGATTCAAATAGGGGTGCAATTAAATCTTTGCAAGAAATCCAAAAAGTAGCGGGGGGGTTGGGGGGGGGGAGGCGGCAGCCCCCCCCATGATGTTTGAAGAAGTGATGATTCGAAATGGGGTGCAATTACATCTCTGCAAAAATCTAAAAAGTAGCAGGGGGGTTGGGAGGGGCAGCCCCCCCCATGATGTTCGATGAAGTGATGATTCAAATAGGGGTGCAATTAAATCTCTGTAGAAAATCTAAAAAGTAGCGGGGTTGGGGCGGCAGCCCCTCCCCCAATGATGTTCGAAGAAGTGATTCAGATAGGGGTGCAATGATTCACGAAAGGGTGCGATAGAATATAAAAAGCAGCGGGAGGGTTGGCGGGGGTGGCTTCCCCCTACGATGTTCGAAGAAATGCATACATACAAACATACATAGATTAGATAGATTGCATAAAATGTCGTATTTTACAGCATGTTCTCGCGAAATTGGATGCTCGAAAGAGTGATGATTCAAATAGGGGTGCAATTATATCTCTGCAAGAAATCCAAAAAGTAGCGGGGGGGTTGGGGGGGGGGGAGGCGGCAGCCCCCCCATGATGTTTGAAGAAGTGATGATTCGAAATGGGGTGCAATTACATCTCTGCAAAAATCTAAAAAGTAGCGGGGGGGTTGGGAAGAGCAGCCCCCCCCATGATGTTCGAAGAAGTGATGATTCAAATAGGGAGGAACTGGTGATGCTGAGGATGCGGGAAGCCAAAGCCAAAAACCGATGAAAGGGTGCAAAAGCCAAAAAGCCTGGAGAGGAACTTGGAAAGCAGAGGATGCGAAAAGCCAAAGCCACCAAAAGCAGTATAAACCAGCAAAAGCCAAAAACGCCACCTGCCGGAGAGGAACTGGAATGCAGAGGATGCGGAAAGCCAAACCCGAAAAGCCACCAAAAGCCGCATAACCCAACAAGAAGCCGAAAGCCAAGAAGCCGAGAAGCCAAAAAGCAAAGAAGCCAAGAAGCCGAAAGCCAAGAAGCCAACAAGCCAAAAAGAGAAAATCGAGAAGAAAAAAAAAGGAGGAAAAACAAACTAAAATGAATACCCCTCCAATTCAAAGGTTTGAATGAAACAGGATGTGCGGACTAATCTCATCAACATTGGTGGTGGGGGTTCAGAATTAGAGCACATGTTCACAAAAGAACTCCCTTTCCACAGGGTTACAAATAGCTCAGGCGCACGCATTGCGGTCTGCCTCAAAATAGGGGTGCCCCAAAATATGGTGTTCCTGTTGCAAAACCGACAGGTGCCCCCGCAAAAAAAAGACACGCCAACAATATGTTGATACCCACCACAAGTGCGTTCAGCTGTCACCACTGTCAATAGCCAATCATAGTGCGCCTCCCAAGGGAGCTGAATCTGGGATCCTGTTGGTGCTTGAAGGGAATGTCTGGGAAATGAGTGCCGGATCGTGCTGTTGCACAAGAGTGGCGACTTTAGACATCGGAACAGACAACGCAAAAACGATGTGTTTGATCTTCATCAGCGTAGGTTTGTGTGAATGTGTGTGTGTGTGTGTTTGCGATCAAACGTGTGGAAATCGCACGGGCTCGTGAAATGCAGCCATGCAAGGCAATGTCAGGGGAACCAAGCAATGCCAGGAGCACCTGCGGCACAATGGCCATCGGGAAATCTGCAGGAGCTGGCAACATATGTACCTTCAGCCGGCTTGCTAGTCTGCTTACAGACTCAAATCATTGACAAATGACTAGCTCTCGATCTTACGCGGTAACTGATGGGTCTTCAGCGAAGCAAACTTGACGCTGATTGCTTCAAGCTCTCAGTGGGATCTGATGGGAACGCAATCCGCTTTCGATCGGAAGGCGCACCTTGGGTGGATCTCTTGTCAAAACCCCAGACAAGAGTACACCGTTTCGAAGAGGGAGCTGTAGGAACTTGGCTCAAAACATTCAAAGCACTCAAAGCACTCAAAGCACTCAAAGCACTCAAAGCACTCAAAGCACTCAAAGCACTCAAAGCACTCAAAGCACTCAAAGCACTCAAAGCACTCAAAGCACTCAAAGCACTCAAAGCACTCAAAGCACTCAAAGCACTCAAAGCACATTCATGCCATCATCGCCAAACAAACTGGCTAGGAAAACATGGCAACGGTAACTAATTCAAACCATGAAACCAGAGACGCCAAGCTCCAAGCCAAATTTGTGAGCCGGTCTGCAGAACCTTGGAACATGTGCAAAGCGCTGTCTGTATTGAGCGAATTGCAGTCTGGAGCGACATTCGGTTTCTCCGTTCCCTCCAGGAAAATACCCAAAAGCTGCTCCTGGCACAAAGTGACGCAGAAGATAGCGTACAAAGCACGAAAAAACCCGGCAGCCCCACTGCGGGTGCCACTCCGACGGCCTCTGAAGTGCCCCTCAGCGGCATGAAAGTAGCCGTCGCATTTCATTCGGACCACGTGCGAGCGCGAGCGCCCGCTGCACGGCTGCGCGCTGAGGGTCGGGCCCCGGCAAGGAGGGCACACCCCGCCAGGGGCAGAGGTAGCTGGCGCAAACCTTCCAGCAAGGTGTTGGCAAAAAAGAAGCAGCGAGCTGTGGCGCCTGGGGAGCCCCAAGAAGAGCTCCTGGCATCAAGTCGGATGCCGGGTTCCTGAGAAACCACAAAAAAAACGCGGCCAGAAGTGTCTCAGAGTCATCTTCAGAGTTACCTCAGTCTAAGCAGTGAGATCCAGGGTTGCGGCATACCATCTGCATGGCGTTGCTAACCTGCAAGGGTTAGAAGAGTGATGCGCATGTGGCTTGACGGTTGGCACCTTCCAGCCAGCATCAACTCCATGACTCACCGGATGTACAGTCTGGCAGCTTATCAATGCGACTGCTTGGCTGCGGGTTGTGCATGGTGAAGTGGCTGCTCGCTGCTTTGGCTGTTTATTGACTAGCAGGGTCCGCTATGGCTGGACGGGCGCGACAAACAATGGAGTGCTTTGTGATTGATGTCCAGGCGCTCGTTTGACATTGACTGCAGTGTCACCGCTTGATTTATCAAACCCGGGACAGCAAACGATGACATCCGGAAGGCAAGTGCATGTTGTGGTTGCCAATCTAAACCCGTCTTGCGTACATCTGCAAAATACGGCAGCGCCACGACATGTTGCGCCTCCATCCAGCAGCAGTTTGATGCATGCAGACATGCCAATCAATGCGCTCTGCCTGTTGGGCAGGCGGAAAAACCAAATTGGCGGACTTTCACTTCATCTCGTTCATGTAAGCGATCAGGTCCGCTCGCTCCTTCTCCTTCTTGATGCCTGCAAAGACCATCTTGGTTCCAGGAATGTACTTCTTCGGGTTCAGCAGATACTCGAACAAGTGCTTGTCCGACCACAAGATGGCAGCATTCTTGTTCGCTTCCGAGTACGCAAACCCATCACAAGTGCCGGAAGTGCGACCAATGAGGCCCCAGAGCGGAGGGCCCTGCTTGACGTTGCCACCTTGCTCGATTGTGTGGCACTGAGCACACTTGGACTTGAAGAGCTTTGCACCCTTCTTGGTGTCACCCGCAGGCACTTCCACGTCAGGCTCTGGCACCGGCATTGCACGGGAAACCACGGTCCAATGACAGAGGTTTGCAACCTATGGCCTTGAGCACTTTCCACGTTCATCATGCCATCACATGTCAAGAAGGCCTGCCTATACGCGGCATGATCATAGCGGTTCTGTTTCTTGGCAACTTCAATCAAGATTGCAATAAGGCACGACCCGTTCACGTTTCACATCATGCACTGCTACTAAAGAGCCGGCATGCGTTAGCAATGACGCCATGTCAAGGCATTCAACTCCAAAGCATCCATGAAGGCAGCGCAATCATCATCTTGCAGGCTTCAGGTGCCTGAACGGGCGAACACAATTGATTAAATAGATGCATTCAAGTAGACTCTGTTCCGCCACTTACCTAATCTTCTGTGAGGTCACAAATCCCATGCTGCCACTGGCACAAGGATTTGGCTGCGTGTTGCTTGCCGATGCTCGAACGTCCTCCAGCAAAAGCGCGGTTTGCTCGCGGCAGGCGGGTAGCCAACGCCCTTATGGGAATCGTGCGCCGGCCACGCAGCCGGGAAAATGACATGAGCATTGCTCTCACTTCATCTCGTTCATGTAAGCAATCAGGTCCGCTCGCTCCTTCTCCTTCTTGATGCCTGCAAAGACCATCTTGGTTCCGGGAATGTACTTTTTCGGGTTCAGCAGATACTCGAACAAGTGCTTGTCCGACCACAAGATGGCAGCATTCTTGTTCGCTTCCGAGTACGCAAACCCATCACAGGTGCCGGAAGTGCGACCAATGAGGCCCCAGAGCGGAGGGCCCTGCTTGACGTTGCCACCTTGCTCGATTGTGTGGCACTGAGCACACTTGGACTTGAAGAGCTTTGCACCCTTCTTGGTGTCACCCGCAGGCACTTCCACGTCAGGCTCTGGCACCGGCATTGCACGGGAAACCACGGTCCAATGACAGAGGTTTGCAACCTATGGCCTTGAGCACTTTCCACGTTCATCATGCCATCACATGTCAAGAAGGCCTGCCTATACGTGGCATGATCATAGCGGTTCTGTTTCTTGGCAACTTCAATCAAGATTGCAATAAGGCACGACCCGTTCACGTTTCACATCATGCACTGCTACCAAAGAGCCGGCATGCGTGAGCAATGACGCCATGTCAAGGCATTCAACTCCAAAGCATCCATGAAGGCAGCGCAATCATCATCTTACAGGCTTCAGGTGCCTGAACGGGCGAACACAATTGATTAAATTGATGCATTCAAGTAGACTCTGTTCCGCCACTTACCTAATCTTCTGTGAGGTCACAAATCCCATGCTGCCACTGGCACAAGGATTTGGCTGCGCGTTGCTTGCCGATGCTCGAACGTCCTCCAGCAAAAGGGCGGCTTGCGCGCGGCAGGCGGGTAGCCAACGCCCTTATGGGAATCGAGCGCCGGCCACGCAGCCGGGAAAATGACATGAGTGTTTGCTCTCACTTCATCTCGTTCATGTAAGCAATCAGGTCCGCTCGCTCCTTCTCCTTCTTGATGCCTGCAAAGACCATCTTGGTTCCAGGAATGTACTTCTTCGGGTTCAGCAGATACTCGAACAAGTGCTTGTCCGACCACAAGATGGCAGCATTCTTGTTCGCTTCCGAGTACGCAAACCCATCACAGGTGCCGGAAGTGCGACCAATGAGGCCCCAGAGCGGAGGGCCCTGCTTGACGTTGCCACCTTGCTCGATTGTGTGGCACTGAGCACACTTGGACTTGAAGAGCTTTGCACCCTTCTTGGTGTCACCCGCAGGCACCTCCACGTCAGGCTCTGGCACCGGCATTGCACGGGAAACCACGGTCCAATGACAGAGGTTTGCAACCTATGGCCTTGAGCACTTTCCACGTTCATCATGCCATCACATGTCAAGAAGGCCTGCCTATACGTGGCATGATCATAGCGGTTCTGTTCTGGGCAACTTCAACTGAGATGGCAACAAGGCACGACCCTTTCAGGCGTTCAGTAGGCTGTGCTCCCCAAAGTACCTGTTCTTTCAAGGCAAATGGAATTGCTCTTGCCTGGGTTTGGCGGCCGGTGATGCAGCAGAATTTGAACAATGTGTTAAGTCTACGCAAAGCCCATTTTTGTGGCAAGCACGTGAAAGTCTACAGAAACTCATCTACGTAAAGCTTGTTTTAGCCTACGGAGCGAAAACCGAACGTGCAGTCGTGTGCACTTTAGGAAAACGGGTTTGTGTGGGGGGGGATGGGATGAACAGACACATGTTGAACAGTCATTGATTTTGCAGACGTGTACTGGCTGCCGCGAGCAATGTTTTGCTTTTGTTTGCCATCATGGTTCAGCAGCCAGCAGCATCGCAGAGCAGAGCAATGTTTTGCAATTCTCTGCCCATCATGATTCAAAAGATGGCCCAGAAGTAGAGATATATGTTTCCAAAAAAGGACGGGGCGCACGCTTCTGCAACGATGGGTTTTCTTGTGCGCTCAGGAGTAGCGGAATCTTTTGGAGAATGTTGGCTTGGTGCGCCATGCATGGGAATATAACCGCATTCCCAGCCATTTGCTTCAAAGTGTTTCTTCCTTTTTGCTAGACTTTTCTGACATGGGATTGAGAGCAAACTGGCTTTTCCAATAGCAATGCGTTCCAGCTTCAACATCTGAAACATGGCGAGTTCGTCGAGATGGCCATTTAAAAAAAGAGCTACTGATTTTGAGGGTAGATTTAAGGAAAACGAGCATGGGGCGCTGGCCAAAACCGATCTTTGTAATTAAAAAAAAAAAAACGGCCGTGCAATCCAGGCAATGACACAGGAAAACGTTAAAAGACATGGTTTTCAACCTCCTACTTCCCTTGTTTGTTGGATTGCTTGCAACTATACGTTCGGTTTCCGACCTGGTGGGTTGTTTAGCCTACGCAGAGCTCATGCGGCAAAATCGGTTTAGCTTTTGGATGCTTGCTTGATCTACCGGAAGGTCAAGTCTAGTCTGCGAGAAGCTCATCTTAGTCTGTTAAGATGATATTTTTCTACGGGAAGCATTTGTCCATCTAAGTCTATGTTAAGTTGATATTTATTCTACGAGAAGCATTTGTCTTTTTCAGGCAAGTTTAGGGTCGGGAGGTTAGTACGCTTGGGATGAGCTTATGGCAAGTTGGCTGGAGTATCAATGAGTGGGTTTCTGTTGGGCTTCTCGGTTGATTTCGGGCTGTTTCAGAGTGGGTCTCTAACAGATTTATGCTTGATTGAGCACACGGGTATAGTGAGATCAGAATTGGTTGCGAACTGATTGAGTGGTTTCTTGGCGGGGTTCGGATTGTCTTCTGAGACTCCTCAGCGATTTGAGGATGGGTTTTGGGTGGCTCTCCGTTTAGAACGAGTTCAGGTCGGGTTAAGGTTGGGATGGGGATTTGGTGTTGATTGATGGTCCAGTCAGGGCGGGTTTTGAGTGGCTGTCTTTCTGGTGGCATTGGATTGATTGCATAACTAGCGTTTGCTTGGGGATAGTTGATATGCGGTGAGTTAGGGTGGGTTTACGGTTTACTTGGGGTGGGTTTGGAGTGAGTTCGTGGTGTGCTCAAAACTGGTTCGGAGTTGATTTAGAATTGGCTCAGGCGGAACTAGGATTGGTGTACGGCCAATTGAATTGGGGGTCATTGAGGCGGTTGGGTGGGTGGATTTGCAACTGGTTGACAGGTTTCTGCTGGCCTTAGGATTTAGGATGCTGTTGGAGAACGGGTTTCGCATTGCTTTAGGTTTGGTTGTAGTTGGTTGGCTTGGTTTGGGGCAGGTCCGGGGCACGATTTTGGGTGAGTTCGTGGTTGAGTCGCGAGTCGCGGGGCTGGGTTAGGATGGAAGCTCCGTTTAGAACTGGGGTAGGATGTGTTGAGGCTGGCGGCTTGGTGTCCCAGTGGTTTGCAGTTGCTGTTGCTGTTCCCAGTGGTGGCCCAGCCGATAGATGACGCTGCGTTTCTGGAAAGTGGATTTCTGTAACTAGGGTTTGGGATTCGTAGAGTATGGTGCATTGAAAGTGGGCTTATACTTGAACTAGGCAATTAGCTTAAGGTCGAAAATATCATGCTAAGCTGAACAGCACAAAGATGTGATTGCGTGTTGCTTTCCCATGCTCGAATGTCCTCTGGCAAAAGGGCGGCTTGCGCGCGGCAGGCGGGTAGCCAACGCCCATATGGGAATGGTGTACCGGCCACGCAGCCGGGAAAATGACACGAGAATTGCTCTCACTTCATCTCGTTCATGTAAGCAATCAGGTCCGCTCGCTCCTTCTCCTTCTTGATGCCTGCAAAGACCATCTTGGTTCCAGGAATGTACTTCTTCGGGTTCAGCAGATACTCGAACAAGTGCTTGTCCGACCACAAGATGGCAGCATTCTTGTTCGCTTCCGAGTACGCAAACCCATCGCAGGTGCCGGAAGTGCGGCCAATGAGGCCCCAGAGCGGAGGGCCCTGCTTGACGTTGCCACCTTGCTCGATTGTGTGGCACTGAGCACACTTGGACTTGAAGAGCTTTGCACCCTTCTTGGTGTCACCCGCAGGCACCTCCACGTCAGGCTCTTGCACCGGCATTGCACGGGAAACCACGGTCTAATGACAGAGGTTTGCAACCTATGGCCTTGAGCACCTTCCACGTTCATCATGCCATCACATGTCAAGAAGGCCTGCCTATACGTGGCATGATCATAGCGGTTCTGTTCTGGGCAACTTCAAACGAGGTGTCACCCCTTTCAAGTTTGACATCATGTACGGCTACAAGAAGCCGGCATGTCTCAACAACAATGAGCCTCCTCCATCAGCGAGCATGGGATTCAAGCTGTTTCCTGATACTTTAACGTGCTTCATACAAAATGCAGCATAGCCGTGCGCCTGCGCATGTATGTGCTTTGCCACAAGTAAAGAGATTGCCGCCAGGACCACTATAACTGAGAAATGAGCAAGAGTCAGTTGAAAACGGTAACATCAGTTCATCTGTTGCCTGTTGCCTGTTGATCACAAGGCCAGTAGCGTGGAGAAGCCACTAGCATTGGAAAAACGAGTGGATCATGCCCGCAAGCCTGTGCTGGCGCAAACAAATCTGGCAAAAGTCGGCTGGCTGAAGTCGGCCGTGAGGCAACTGCAACACGCTAATGTTGACCCAGGATTAATAAACCCGTCCCACTATTGGGGGGGGGTGTTCCCTCCAAAAGTCATGAATCCCCACTAAAAGGGGACCCCCCCCATTAATCAACCAGGGGTATACTAATCCGGGGTTAACATTCTCAGAGGTTGGTACTTGATGGCCCTAGTTGCCAAGCTCTGTTTAGAACCTGCTTCAGGCAAATCTTTCGACCATGGAATGGAACAATGGAACAGGTGTGCGAGCCGCGTATCCAATGGCGAGGCAACAGCCGCGATTCAAGCCGTTCAGATATTTCGGAACGTGTCCAAATCAAATGTCTGTTGGTTCCTTATCAGCGTTTCAGATGGCTGCAGTTCAATAGATCTTGTGCAGCCTGTGCTGATAGTCGCCCTTCTGCGAGCAGTCTAGACTCTCAACTCCACAGCAACCTACATATTCGCCTCGGCCTTCCAGCCGGGAGCCCTTTCCGAACCCCAAACCCCATCCCACCGCAGCCTGTCCGCCTGAAGCAAGCCTGGACGCGGTCGGCGGGAGCAAGGGCTTCTCAAAACCGGTCGCAGAAACGCTCGAAATGCGCACCTTCACTTGTCCCAAGCTCGCTGCCATTCTGTGGCTCTCTGCGGCTCTCGTTCTGGCCCTTGAAGCCATGCGGAAACGCGCGGACATGCACCCACGCTCTACCTTGGAAATCAGCTCACGCATTTCGGCGCCGACTCACTCACTCTAGCAAACATAACACTTCAAGGCACACTAAAACACAGTATGTACCTCAAAGCCAGCCAAAAGCGGACTGGCCGAGGCTGGCAACGCGAAGCATTTACAAATTCGCCTCGGCCCCAAAGGGGCCAAGGGTGCTCAGATCTCTTCTCCAAAGAGAATCTTCGCTTTTCCCCACCCCCTCCAACCAAAATTTTGCCAGCCCGCCCCCCCCCCCCCCACCCCCCCAAAAAATGTTAAAAAATTAGTTCAAAGAAATTTTATAAACAAGTATCATAGCAGTATAACAACTCAAAAATTCTTCACAAAAGAAGCATAGCAGTCTAAAAAGTCAGTTTAAATATTAGTGATTGCTTCATGTTTACTCAACAATATCAAGACATAATTACCTCTTTCATTTTTTCAAAATCATCACTACTAACCATATATTACCTCTTTCATTTTTCAACATCATCACTACTAACCATATATTACCTCTTTTCATGTTTCAAAATCATCACTATTCACCATATATTACCTCTTTCAATTTTCAAAATCATCACTATTAACCATATATTACCTCTTTCATTTTTTTAAATTCGTAACAGTCAGTACATAATTACCTCATTCATTATTACAGATTCCTAACTACTGACCTTTTCTAAATTTCGTTTATGCTTCTCTGTGTTCTTATGTTTATAGCAATTTGCTTCGGTCATTGAACAATTACAAACAGAACAACTAATAAATTTAGATTGAAATGTGTTATTGCAGTCCTACTTTGTTTTTCTATATTCTTCATCTTCTTCATATCTTTTCTTGAACCTCGTTTCGTCTATGTTTATGTTTGTTATAACTGGATCTTTGATCTGATAAGCACATTATAAATGTTTTTAGTCCTTCATTAAAATTATATAGTTGTTCCACAAGTTTTGCAAGTTTTCCGAGTTTATCTTCCATAAATGTTAAAACAGTCATTTCTTAAATATATATTCAAA